AGTGTAATCATCGTCCGCGGGAACAGCAATTCCCAACGCGATTGCGTGCTGCTGTTCATGTGTGGCCTTTAACCCGATTGATGGCCAAGAACTGGGGGTTTTGGGGATGCAAAGGGTTAAGGCGCACACGGCCCCCACTGGCTGCACACGCAAATGGCAAAGGACCAAAAGGATCGCCTCGCAAATTGTTTTTAATACGCATTTTTGTTCGTTTGCAGCTCGCAACATGTCACAAATGGCAAACAGAGAGTCAGCCAACTTCCGTGGGCGTGGATGAACAAAAAATTAATATTTTCTTACCCCGCGGCACAACAAGAGCAAACAAAATGTAAAAAACATAGCTATAATAAATTATACTAGATATTCTTACTCAACAAGCAAGAAACCCGTTTAAAATGTATGATATTTTCCACGCATTTTCTACGTTTAGTTTTGTATCGTATCCGAAGAAAATGTGTTTTGCCAGTTGCCAAAATCTCAATAAAGCTTGCGGAAAAAGCAGCTCCTGTCACCGAACCAGCAATCGTGCAAACGCCTCCTACAGGGTATCAGAGAGTTGCACAAGCCTGTCACCCAGGGGATAATCTGGCATTACAGTTGTAATGCGCTCCCTAAACAGAAAACAAAGTGGGATCTTCTTGTGAAAAGTTAAGCCGCCTTAGAACTGTCTGCAGATTTGTTATGTACTCAAAATAAATGCAAACTGTCATGTCAATACGTAATTAGGAAGCTCAAGAGGTTGTTTGCCAAGTATAGCCTGGCATTCAAACGAATTTTGCATTTCAAGCGTAGCCTCTTTAAAATAATCTTATCATAAAAATTCGAAAAAATCCACCCAAAAATAAAAAATTATCTAATGATGCAGTTTGCCAGAGAATTAAACTACAAATTTTTAGAGGTTTGCCACTTTGGAAACGGAGACAAATCAAAAAAGTTATGAGATTAGATATGCAGGCTTTTGGAGAATTTTCTGCAAAAACATTTTCGGAAATAAAAACTAGTTATAAAAAACTTAAAAGGAAATTAATAATTCAGTTTGTTGGGGGATTGAGATACAAACTTTCAGAGGAAAAGTTCGCAATGAGTAATATTTCCGAGCCCCTGGAAGGGTATCAAATAGTCGATTGCTATCGCTTCTATGAGCGTTCTTCACATTGAAACAAAGTAAAGACGACGTATTTCATATGCGCGACCTTGGTTAGTTAAAAGGGACAAAGGGAGGGGGTCGGAATTGGGGCATGTCGACCACAGCAGTTGACAAATTTGGAAAAATTGCAACAGCGACAGCAGCCAGATGCTGCTGCCTTGAGGCCAAATAAAATACCCAGAAAACAACAACGACAAAGGGGATCGGGGGGGAAGGGGAGCATTACAATTGAATATATACGTGGGTAATAATGTGCCAAATTGTTGACGATGCTGATGAAGATGCCACCGCGCTCCTTTTATGTGTTCCCTTGACGAAGCGAAATTGTTAAAGTTAAGTGTTATAAAAAGGAGGAGACTGTCCATGGTTATTTTATAAAGTAATGTATAAACTGTTGGAAGACTATAAAATTCAAAATGCAAGTCATTTTCAGTTAACTATGATGGCACACATTTTGCTTAATGCTTTCTGTGTCCGACAGCTCTAAAGTCAAGGCAAGAGTATTCGAAAGTCACTTTGCATTCACTTTACTTGCGTGTTGTTTATTTTCCCAACAAAGTTTTTGTTCGCCGTCCAATGTTTGTAAACATGATTCCGCCGCCACCCCCCATTTTTCTCGCACTTTCCCCCTTCTTCACCATATTGTTCATTTATAATTTTTCATTTTTCCCCGCTAGTTGGAAATTCATTAGGTTGCGGTTAAAGAATTTCCACAAAGCATTAACGGAATACTAAAAGAAAGAGGTACTTATTAACTAACTAAATGCTTAGCTTATAAATTGCAAAGTTTCTTCTGTTTTTTATGAGTTTGAAGTTCAGTTATCTGAAGTTTTTGTAAATTATAAAACTATTTGGGTCTGCTGTATTGGGGCCTCCAATTTGCCTACACTTAACCTTTTGCAGCACACTTTTTCATCGCATCTCATTACACTTTAATGGTTCGGTTCCACTTGAGGTTAACTCCCCGTCCACGCCCCCTTTTCTCAGATCATTTTGGGCATTAAGTCCTGACAGCCGTTATCTCGGTTCCACCTGCATTAAAACGTTTTTATGTCATTTTTCTTGATGGAAAAATAAACGTGCCCCGACCTTTGGCTCCTGGGATTATGATTCGATATTTTTCCGGCAAAGGAGAGCCCAGGTTTATGAATGTACTCGAATAACTCACATCGCTGTTGACACTCTTCATTAGGCCACGCCCAGCTAAAAACAAATTATCTGCTCCCTTTTCTTCGGTTCAAGCGAAGCTAAGAATATCCTTTGTACATATCCCCAACAGCTTATATAATTGAAAAAATGTGGACTGATGGCTGAACGCGGTCTGAATAATTGTTGCAAGGTTGAGAGCTTTCGCTGACGCAAGAAGGACCACCTACCTCCTTTCGATGCAACTGTTACTACACAGGAAGAATGTTGTCATGAATAATATTCGTGATTGAAAGGGTACTAACTCTACAAAAAGGGAAATACTTAAAAAACTCTATTTGATTTAATAAGAATTGTGCCGCGACTAACGATAGTTTTTGAATAAGGACTTTCAATTCGAGATAATGGCTAACAATATGCCACAGTGCAGGGATATGGAATTATGCAATGTTATTCCTTGTGTTGCAGCTAGTAACTGCTGCTTACTGGCTTCTCGGTTGCGAGTTGCCCTTTCGCAGGTTCAGGCACTGCGACTGACAGCTAAATGGAGTGTCACAGCCGTCTAATCAGCTGCAAACGCAAACAGGCGCTGAAGGTGGGGAAAGGGCCAGCTGGAGGTGGAGGGGGAGGGGTTTGAAGAGGGGCGGTTGGGGCGCTGACAATCTCAGATTAGTGTCGCCATATTGCGTCGCACTGGATCTGTTGTGTCTGTATATCCACGTCTGGGGTCCAGGACTGGGTTAGCCGCCCTATTGTGGCAGTCGCACGTCCGTAAGCCAGTTAAGACAGGACCTGAGCCCATGGGGCAGCTACGAGTCGAGGTTACCTGCTAGGTGAGCTGTAACCAATCCGTCAAAACACTCCAAAAAAAGGGGAGTACTAAAAGAACTCACTTTTTATTATATTACCACACAGCTGATTCAATATTTTGAACAATGGTAAGTAGAAGCAGCGAGAAACAAACGAAAAATTCATAGGAACATATCTCCCCAATTTCTTTCAGTGATGCCCCAAATCACCTGAGGGAAGTCTGCCTGTTGTCTAGTATCGGTTCGGGTTTAGACGCTTTCGTTTTCATTGTGGCACGCCTAGGCACAGTGATGAGATTTCTTAACTGCGATTCGCCTCTATTTTTGGAACGTCAGAACAAGGGATGCGGTTGGGGATGGGGAATGTGGATAGAATTGGAAATGGGAATGGAGCTGGGGTAAACTTGGCCCCAGGATGAAGACCATGCAGATAGACCCGAATAAGTTGTGACTGGGGAATACCAGTCATCGTAATGGCACGGAAATGGGAAACCAATAGCCCGGAGGTTCCACTGGATCGCATTCAGCTTTACTAGAATTATATTGCAGAAATAATTTGATTTGTGGATAATCATATCGATGAGGGACACATTCCGGGGGGTGTGTATCCCATTTATTAATAAGCACTAATTATTAAGTGCTTCCTTTATTGAAATTTCCTCAGGGCTTTCAAAGTTGTTTAGACTGTTTTGCAAGAGCTGTGGCCACGAAATTTGGTAATCAGCTCTTGGTACTTGAATATGAAAAATTCGAATGGTTATAATTAGGAAGCGATTGTACAGGGTAGCTTGACTAAAAAAGCTGTGCCAAAATATTCTCCTTTGTTTTCTAGTCAATGGAAACCCAGCCGTTTGGTCAATCAAAAGTCAGCTTATAATTTGGACGTAGGATAACTGAGACTGCCCTTGAGGGCGGACTTAGTAGGATTCTGGAGTTTTCTTTCTTTTCCATTCTGTGGGATCAGTTTACTTGGCCACATTTTTATCTGGTTGCACTTTTGCCATTGCTGCATTGACTAAGAAGGGAAAAGCTGCCGCAGCAGTTTTCCAAGAATTCTATGATAACAATAAAGTTTTCCTCCAACTGCTGCTGTTCGACTGCACATTAACGCCACCGACGCACAGTGGTCAAAATGGAGAATATGGCAAGCCGAATAAATAAATCCAAAATCTAAAAAAAATATTGAAATTTTTTTTGTAAATTTTCATCTTGTAATTGTAATTCTTTGAGCCTTTAAGTTACAAAAATAAATACTTCTGGAATCTATATAAATTATTTTTGGGCATTTTTTGCTGGACTGGAAAAGTGCGCCCAAGAGATGGAGAGCGACACGCATTTTAATTTCGTTAAGTACTGTTTTGGCCGCGCCGCCAGTGGAATGCAATGGGAGCGGGTCCATAAATTACGCATACGCCACGTTCGCCCCTGTTTTGGGCTTTTCGGCCACCTCGGGGGAATTGCAAGTGCACAGCGGGAAAAACTATGGCGGTAGCCTAATTAGCTTGATTTAACTGTTCACTAAAACTGACATTAGACATTAGACATTAGAGGCATATGCAGAAAAACTCTCCGGTTCATATAAAATCGCATTTGATAGACATGCCTCTAATTTTCTTTCAATATTTTTCCCGCTGTGTGAACAATGACCAGCTAATGAGTGGGGTTATTCGAGACTTGCAAAGTGTAAACAATTAAACGAGGAGAACAAGAAAATGCATATTGAGTTTGAAAACATGTTTAGCTTGAACTCTTAGAAAGAAAGAAAAACAAAAGAAAATACAAAATATAATCTCAACAGTCTATGTACATATGTATATTGTCTGTAACTTCAGTAGGAAAAAATTGTATGGATGTTTGTTTGGAAAATTGGACTAGGACCTTAGGGACAGTGGACTCACCTCTGGCAAACAGGACGAGGTGCAGAAGACACTCCAGGGCGGCGCCGTGGGATTTGTACTTGTACTGGGGCTTGTTGCTCGCTGCCATTTGAACTTCGATTTACATGTTCGTTGGATTGCCGGCTTATTGTTTTCACCTCGTTTGTTTTGAGCGGTTTGGTCAAAAAAGGCCAAAACGCGGTACAATAAAAAAAAGCTGCTAGTTCTGGTGAACTATTCAGACCTTTGTCGCTGCACTTGTCCCATGAATATTTAAAGTGCGCCCTGCAATTAGCTGCACACACACCGATAGAGCCACATCTGCGATTAAAAGTATTAATGTAATCGTAAACACACGCACACCTTCAAAAAAACACTACAAGACACTTGCAAAAAATAAGAGAATAATTGATGCAATTCACCGTTGACATAAATGCGCGCCAAAATTTGTTCGCTTTTCTTTGGGCAGCAGGTCGGGGTAGTCAGTCGTGCGTCTTCGCCGAGCGCCAGAAACCAACTGAACTGTCACTACGAAGTCCCCCTTGAATTGGACACAACAAAGGATAACAGTAGCTGTTCGAGAGCTGCAGCACCAGCGGAATTGCGATAAGGAAGTTAAAATGAGTAATTCGTAAACACTTATTTAAATTTAAATACATTTCTTATTGGATAAATTCCCAATTTGCTTTATGTTTATTTTAGCGCGTACATTTTCCTTTACAAAATCAATCTGGCAGCACTTGCAGTGTCTATCGGCTATCGATAATATCAGCTGTTATCTTCCTGGCTTGCCGCTCTGTAACAAAGATTTAAAATTTCTGCTAAGTATAGCACAATTATTGAAAAACAAGAGCACGCCAAAGTCGAGTGCCTTGACTATTAACTACCCGTTACCTAGATAAGCAATTTTAATGAACTTTTAAATCTCGACGTCTATCTAGACAGAATATTATGCATTTATAATATTCGGCTTAATTATTCACATGATTCACTTACAATAAATTAGTTGTGAATGAAAAATCTAGCTCTGCGGTGTAAATCACGGTTTATTCATCTATTTCTAATAACATTCTTTGAACTTAACGTATGATTTATAATTTAGAACCTTTTTAAACCAGATGGCAACTTTATTTTTAGAACCATGTTAAAGTGTTTTTAATGGCAGCACTTATATTGCCTATCGGCTATCGATAATACCAGCTGTTATCTATATAACTTGGCGCGGTAAACACTAGATTTAAAATTCCATATGGCAGTTAATGCCATTTACTTTTCGTAATAAAGTAATATATAGTATATATAATATAAAAGTGATTTTTTATATTTTTTCGTGACTAAGATTTTAGTTTGTGAAAAATATCTGGAGACCACATTTCACCCAAAAACATAAACAAAGTTGGGCTAAAGCACATAATTGCCAAACAAGAGGACATGTACTAGTTTTAATCTTAAAATCGAAGACACACATTTGAAGTAGCGCCACTTCACAAAAGAATGTTTCGTTGCCAGGCGGGCATAGCGGCTTTTGAATTATGCTGACGTAGAAACAGACCTCAGATAACCAGTTTTGAACAGTTTACAGTGGAATCAAATTGATAGAAATCTGAACATTTCTACGAAAAGTGATTCGAAGCTTTAATCATTGTTTTTCTTGTTTACTTACAAAAGTCTCACGTGAATAATAAATGTTAAGCAGCAAAAATTAATTTTGTTCTAAATTGATTAAAAATTTCTTTGGACCGACGGTAAATCCAGCGCTATAAGATAAATATATTAAGTGAAAAGTTGAAGGACTTCATATATTTTGAAAATCATTTTACCTTGAGAATTTTCGCATTGGCTTATCTATGGAATTTACGTTTGGCTTCTACGTAGTGCCATTATCCGATCAAAGAATATAGACTCGGTGGACCTATGACTGTTATCTGATATATACAGCATTTTTTTGTTGTTTTTTAAAGCTGTTTTGGGGCGTACAATCTCACGTTTTCATTGTTGCTGTTTTATCAGCTGTCTGGCGAAACATTTACATATAATCGAACGATTGAGTTTGTACGTATTTTTTCAGCAATATTCAATTCAATATATTTTCGTTGTTACATTTTTATATTTTGTTTTTTTACCGATACACCCGACAGTAATTGATTTAGAATTGCTCACTTGCAGGGCAACTTCAGTTTGATTGATTGACTTTCGAGAGGAGTGAAAAAAAATTGGGGAAAGCCCGGTGAAAGGGAGTACTTAGCAGGAAACCAGAAATTTGCCTACGGCAACCATAAATCAGTTTTAATTGAAATTATCTGGACGCTGATCGCTGCCCATAAATTACTTACCGACTCCCTTGACTCGGCTACTTTTTTCAAGCTTTTTTTGTGTGGTGCCGGGTCTCTGCCTAAATTGGTTGATTTGTTTAAATATTAGACCATAAATATTAGAACTTGTCAAACGCGCATGCAATCATTATTTAAATATTTACTGCCATTATCGTGATTATAATGCTTGTGGTCACAAACAGCAACCACGATTCGCAGCTCTGATTTCGTTAATTAAAGTAGCGCGATCCGATCGGAGCCGAATAGTACTATATACGTATTCGATTCCTAACAATCGGGCCGCGTGGCAGCAGCGTGCAGCGCCCTACTGATAAGTTGGGGGGTCCAAAACCCAAAACCCAAAACAGAGCGCCGGGAATCAACATTCCGCTCGATACCGCATAATTTATGCACCTCTTCCGCAGCCAAAGGTGGAAAAAAAGAGACAGGCGGGCATGTGGATGGAGAGAACTGATAAGCTGTTGGCCGCTCTTTTAGTTTCTGGCTTCTGGCTTTTGGCCAAGTGCAGCCGCAATGTTCCCACCCATTCAGACTGCGATGGCGATGCCCGATGTGCCTCGTAAACAGAACGAAAAAAACAGAAATTTCATTAACGAAACAGTTGTGTTTACCTTATAGCGATACCCTAACTTGCAGAAAAGTCAACGATGTTTTTAATACACTTTAATATTCCATATTTAGACAAAGGAACAGGAATGTGGGCTTAAATCAGAAGTCCCCGCGCATCGCTAACGCATAAAACGTGAGTGGCACTTTTCGCCAGATTAGTGGAGCCATAAATACTCAAATTAAATTGTTGACTCTTCGGACGTTTCTGTTCGGCCGGGGGATTCCGAATCAGGGTATTCCAACGTGCTACCGACGACAGACGGCGGACCTCGCTCTTCGCTTCTGTTTTTGTATGGCATTTACCAAAACCCCCGCGGTACCTTGCGTCCCGCTTGCCAATGTCAAGTTCGTTGCCAATGTCGTTCGATTCGCGGAGAGCAGCGCGAGCGAAAAAAGCAGAGATAGTGGGGGTTCTGGGGGTTAAGGGGGCGTGCGGAGGGGTCAGCGAGGGTGTCGCCGGATCGATTAGACAGCTAATTGCGTTCAAGCGCCGCTCGCAGCGTGCCCGCGGTGGCGCGGTGGCGTATACGTAATCGTAATAGCCGAAATCGCCTAATCGCGTATACGCCGCGAATTCGTATTCGTTTTCGTATTAATGCAAACAAATACTTTTTAATTTGCAAATTATGGGGCGCGCAAAAGCAGGACAGGGCGAGAGCATAGCATCAATTTCAGTCGCCCAGCGGACGCCGAGCGAAGCGGTCGCGTTCCCTTGAGTTGAGTTGAGTTGAGTTACCTTCTTCTGTCCCCACCGACAAAAAGTCGGCGAAAAGGAATGGATTTTCGCAAATTCGGCAAGAAACAAGAGCAGCAACAGCAACAGCAACACACACAGCAGAAGAACTCTCGGCCGCTCGAAACTGATAAGTGCAACTTGTGAAATTGATACTGGAGCGCGAGCCCTTGATTGAAATGCGCGGAAGTTTCCACTTGTCGAGCAGTCGGAGCTATCATAGGCCAGCCCAAGCCCACCACAGGTGCCCCAGTAGTAGTCGACGACGTCGCCACTACAGCTAATTGTGGCCATTAATTGATTGGCAGCGCACGGCGCACCACACCGACCACCGGCTGCCAGACACGCCCCCCTTCCCAGAGAAAGGCATCCCACCGCCCCCCCGCCACGAATAAAGCCAATAAAACCCATAAAGGCCTTAAAATAGCCGAAATGAAGGGCCAGCAGGAGGAGCAGCTGGTGCCGCCGGCCTACAGGCCGACCGTCGTTGGCAAGGACACCAAGGATACGAAGCAGAAGCCCCTTGGGGAAGGTCGCCTGGCAGTGCTCCGCCAGCAACTGATGGTCTTCCTCGGCAACAGCGGAGTCCTCGGCTCCGGAATGGTGGTCAGCATGCCGGCCGTCACGCTCAACCAGCTGCACGACGAGTCGCAGCCCTTTTGGCTCAACAAGGACGAGTCCAGTTGGTTTGGTAAGCACCTCATTAATACGTTTCTATAGATAGATAGTAAATAGTAACCAACTATATTCAAATGGCAGAAAAACCTTTAGCATTTCAATAATAGGTTACTAGTACTTTTTGTAGAAAGAACTCCTACCATTGAGTCAACTCACCTGTTGCTCCTCTCCCCCCTGCTTTAGCCTCCATCCAGAACATGGCCTGTCCCCTGGGAGGACTCCTGGTCAGCTACTTCCTGGATCGCATTGGCCGCAAGTACACCATCCTGCTGACGAACCTGATAGGACTGGTCGGCTGGATCCTGCTGGCGACCAGCTTCATGCACTCCGACCGCGACATGATCTACTACCAGATGCTGGTGGGCCGCTGCTTCGGGGGCATCATGATCGGGATGTTCGTGTCGCCGGTGGGCGTTTACTCCGCCGAGATTAGCTTGCCGAGGATACGAGGTCGCCTGATTCTGGGCACCTCGCTGGGCCTGGCCAGCGGCATCCTGCTGATGTACTGCCTCGGCTACTTCATCAGGAACAACATCCAGCTGATCTTCACGATCAGCTGCTGCTACCAACTGGCGGCCACCGTGGCTGTCTTTCCCATGCCGGAGTCCCCCAGCTGGCTGCTGACCCGAGGCAGGGAGGAGCGGGCCAGGAAGTCCCTCAGATACTTCCGTGGTCTGCCCAAGAAAGGTGAGTCATGACCCGAAAAAATCAGATTAGATAGATAGATTCGCTGGCCAATGCAATACAAAACAATCCAGCAAACTGGACAGCAGTTAAATGCCATTAAAGTGAATTAAATTAAGTGATTGCTTGGCAGAAAAGTCCGCTCATCCATTTGGAAATTCGATACTATAAAGTATGAAGTTAATGTCACCATTGACCTCTATCATTTGCCGAGTAATAATTGAGGAGTTTGTCATCGGAATGGTTTCCGTGTGACTTTTAAGCTCAGCCAACAAAATGGCAGGGCAATTAAGTAGAATTGATAATTCCAAAAAGGTAATTTATTTGGCCAGCGTGCATTTTCTATCTTTCTGTTTTTTGTTTTGAAATGTTAATTAAATTTGTGCTGTGTTCTGTTTCTATCGTTGTTTAGAAGTGGATTATGTTCCGGAGTTCGAGGCGGAGCTGGCGCACATGAAGGAGCTGGCGGACGCGAGCAACTCCACGGCGGCCGCCGAGTCCTTGGGCCAGATGATCCATCGGCCGGAGGTCTACAAGCCGGTGCTGATGATGACCACCTTCTTCGGGTTCCAGCAGGCCTGCGGCGTGGTGGTGATCATCGTGTACGCGGTCCAGATTGCGCAGCAGGCGGGCGTGACCATCGATCCGGTGCTGGTGGCCGTGATGCTGGGCGTGGCCCGGATCATCACCACGCTCTTCATGAGCGGCATCTTCGAGAAGTGGGGCCGCAAGCCATCGGGGATCTTCTCGGCCAGCGGCATGGGCATCTGCATGCTGCTCCTGGCCGGTGGTAACTGGTTCCCGGACACTTTGGGCACCTGGCACTGGCTGCCGGTGGCCTGTATCGTGGCCCACATCGTGTTCTCCACGATGGGCATGCTCACGCTGCCCTTCTTCATGATCTCCGAGGTCTTCCCGCAGCGAGCGCGCGGCAGTGCCTCCGGCATCGCCATCTTCTTCGGCATGATCCTGGCCTTCGTCATGCTGAAGATCTACCCGAATATGGAGGCCGCCCTGGGCACGGCCAATCTGTTCGCCTTCTACGCGGCCATCTCCTTCCTGGCGGCCGCCTTCATTGGCTTCTTTGTCCCCGAAACGAGGGGCCGCACCCTCGAGGAGCTGGAGGAGCGCTGGCAGACCGGAAAGTTCTCGCGCCGGTTAACCATAATCAACCTGAAGGACGTGGAGCTGCACGAGGTGTTCCTCAAGAAATAGGTGCACAGTGCACAGTCACAAATCGGGGGGATTATAGTCAAGTTCCGATGACCACACATTAAATCACTGGCGAAACCATATAAACTCTAACTTAAGTGGGACTGAAGACGAATGTGGAGCACGGAATTCCATTGGAAAACGGATCGGGGTATTCAATCTGTGATGTGTTAAGTACTTAGCCTTGGCAGCCACAATCTGTGGCCACTCGATAAACAATAAATACCATTTAGTAAACAAAATTCAATCAAAGTGCATCTTCAAATTGCCGACGAGGCAGAAATGCGATGCATATTGGTCAGGCCACGATGAAATTTTACACATCAACTTATTTTTTGTTTTTTTTTTTTTTAAATAATTGTTAGACTCCTGCGCCCTGTATTATATTAATAAAATATGTGTAATAAAACACTGCTATTTGCAGCAATAAAAAAGACACCTTTTATTCATTTAAAGGCAAATCAATGGTTTTCATTCGTTTAAACTCGAGTGATTGGGAATGATTATGGCGACTCGGTTGTTGATTGTTAAGATAATAAATTTGAAATGCGGATCCCGTATCTGCGATGGAATATTTACAATTCTTTTTATTTGCCAAAACAATTCATAAGGGATGTTGCAATTTATAGATATAACATAGATATTTTGAAGATGCTCTCGAACTCCACTTAAGGTGATTCATTACAGCAATATCTTTATTTTTGAGGGCCTGTTGTTCAACATCAATAGCTCTCCATTGGAATTGGCACGTGCCCACTACCAGGCCCACTTTCTGGCCGGGAATTATGCAATTTAGAGCCCAACCCTCAAGAGGGTCGACGTTCAAGGTGTCCATGCGGGAATCCAAACAATGACTGGCCTACAAGTCAGTTGGTGTTGTGGCTTATCGCCACTTGATAGTGCTCCGTCTATATAGACTATATAGACCGATCACCAGTGGGTGTGCGTTCGGTTCGTGTCACGATGATGGATGACGGTTGAGGGATCACGAACCGGGGATCACGAGGCGAAGGATCGCGAGTCGAGTGAATATAGAACGTCTTATCGTTCGGATTGCGTGCTCTGACGTAATTCGGGAACACTAATTGGACGCGATGCGAAAACGTGTTGCGGCTATCAACGCCGAACCATCCGGAAAAAGGAAAAAAATCACATCGAGCGAGCGATTTGTTTGCCCTCCAATTCGATATGAAATAGCAATACCTATACTCAATGTTAGGTATTCCCGGAAACACCTGTAATTTGGAATTATTGGGCATTTGTGCGTTGTTTTCTTCGCAAATATATTTTTGTTGTGCTCCCCCACTCGAGATAAGAATATCGCCGGTGATATAATTCCCCTCCAGCAAAGTGGAAATCAAGAGGAGTGACTTTTTACACCAGAAGCATTCGAGTGATTTGTTGTCGAACAGAAACGATAAGGTTTTTGCATTCAATTGCCAGTGACCGATAAAGGGATATTTGTCATTAGTATGTGTTTTTACGTATTTGAAGAGGTAAATAGAAAAATTATAACAAAAAAAAAAGGAAAGAGTGACAGAATCGTTGAAAAGTTAATCAAATGTCTTATGCCTTTATTCTAATCGTTAAGTCTCCTGACTTTTGAAGTGTCAACCTTGGAGTTGCCCAAAACGCAGATAATGTCGAGTACTACCAGAAGTTTGATTTGCTGAAGAATGTGATCCAACAATTGCTCGGAAAAAATAGCAAAAAAACATCAGCAAATAAGTGCAAAATGGAGAAAGATTACAACCCACAGTAAGTTGGCAAATCGCCATTGAATTTATAGGCAAAACCGCAACTTTAATAAGTATTATAAGTATAATACTTATACTTATAATAAGTATGTATTATTCGAATGATTTCAAATACGCCTTAATAGGCGGTTCAACGAAGTCCCCTTTTGATATGCTATAAAATATTTTGAGTTGCAAAATACGTAGCCCACCTTTAAGTGTTCAATAATATTAAACCCACTCTCCATTAAAAAACATCCCAAATATATGAAAAACCACCATTTCATTTTGTGTTTTGTTCGAATTTTAAATGTTCATTGGTTTATTTGTTCTTTTTGTAATGTGACATTCTTAAGTACAACATTTAGCTGCTAGTTTAATATATGTATATATGTGTTTCTGTATAAACGAGTTAAAATTCAAGTAGTTCTTATTATTTCCTCGTGTAGTTTTACGAACTACGAACAATTTACGAGTTTGTCATCTGTTTGTCATCTGCTTGTCATCTGTTTGTCTGTGTGTGTCGTTTATTATTATTACGGTACATTATGTCTTTACTTTTAAATGTTTTAGTTATTTCAAAAAAATTTCCACTTGGGGGGCTTAATAGTTATAATATATATATATATATATATACTTTTGTATACGGTATAGTTAATATAATTGTTTTGTCGAATATATTCCCTTTGTTTGTTGCTTGCTATTTAAACTGTTCGTTTGTTCCACTAAACTTGTTCTATGTATGAATGTATATTGCTTTTAGGTATGCGTTAATTTGTAGGCAATTTGTAGTACTTACTTGTCGATTTGCTTCTTTATAATTATAATTCTGTTTTTATTTTCTCTGTCGTTTTAGTTGGTGTTTGGTTTTTAAAAAATCTTTCAATGGGCAGTTCACGTTTCACATACAATCTGTGCCATCCGATCGAGTGTTAACCTCACTAAGCAAAAAAAAAATTACTTCACCTCTATGGGCGGTCGTATGTCCTCATCCTGGTAGTTCCCATTCCCTTAATTCTATGTATACATATCTCTATAATATTATTTCTTGAATTGTATATAATTTGTCGGTGTTTATTTTTTATTTTTAAGATGAAAGATGAGCGCTACAAGGGGCACTACTTTTGGGGAGAGGCAAAGGGGGAATATAGCAATTAGTTCTTCGAAATTGAAACCAGAAAATAATACCAAATAGTTCCACGGGATTAAGCGCCTTTAAATCTGTCTAACTCTGCTTCTACGGAAACAGAAAAAGAATACATCTATCTGAATCTGAACCTATATCAGGGTATTACTAACATCCGCTTTATTGAGGTTCTTTTTAAGTCGTTTGTTTTTTTGTTTGTTTTTCTTGTATAATATTTTTTATATAAAAAACGCTCTCATTCTTATGCTAGAAAAAAAATTGTTTGCATATTTCTGGTATTTTGGTTTTTCTTTATAAAAAGATCTTTACCTTCTAGACACTTCAATATAAAAAAATGTATAATGTATATTTCCGTTACTTAACTCTTTTCATGCTTTATGTTTTACTGAACAACATTTTTAATGTATTTGTGATTAAGTTTTTTGTGAGGTTACCATGTTTTACGTTATTTATTAAAAATTCCAAAAAAAAAACTTCAGTTTCTGCGTCTTCATTTCGATCTCTGTATTACAACAAAATTAGCTTGGCTGCTTATGAGTAAAGAAAAAAATTGTCTAAAGGTTTACGAGAAAAAAAAATAGTTTTAAAAAAAAACAAGTTTCTATATGATTTCTTTTTTCACATGCTCAAAAAATAGTCACAAAAAAACTAACAAATATTTATTTTTGGTTTGCCTTGGCCTAATCTAATTACACGAGACAAAAAAAACGCATGCAAAGGTGCTGAAGGAATGATTTCTCCTCCAATATATCAGATATTTGTTAGGTATATCCGCTTATTCACTAAGGCTACATTGGTTGAGACTATTTGCTTTCGATTTAAGTGAGTTTGACACCGCCATCCCGATTGGATGGGGCTTTAGAATGAATCTCGCTTACATATTGATTTAATAATCGCTTTCGACTTGTGTATAATTATTTGGTTTCGCTAATAGATATATATATATATGGTTTTGTTTTTTAAATCGTTATATTTTGTATTCAGCACAACCAAACTGTAAGTGTTTACTGTGTCTGCTTCTTGCCTTGTCGCTAGTTTCGCTTAAAGCTAGAATATGGAAATTATTTTTAATTCGTTGACTCAATACGCCACGCACACTCCGGAAAAGCATAATCATAAATCTAGTGATAGTTTTTATCATAAATATAAATAAAAAGAAAACTCAGGGGTAACGTTGCTTGTGTTGAAGGTTTTTATTTAGTTCACTTAAATAATGGTTTTCTTATTTTTTTTGTAACTTTTGTTTTAAGCCAGAGACATGGTAGTAAAGTAATAAAATAAAATTTAATTTCCTTTTTTTTTTGATTTTTGACAAATTAAAAGTTTACACAATTTTTTTTGATTACAAGTAAATATTAAAAGTATTGATAGAATTAAGCAAAAAAATCATCGCATATTTTGGAGTTTTAATATTGGGCTTCTCTTCCATTACTTTATGCACCTACACCGAAAAATATTTGTTGTTTGAAGTTGGAGTGACTGACCGGATTCGAAAATCGAAAATCGTGGTAAATAAAAATAAACAAAAACGTAAAATAAAAACACAAAGTTAAAAGAACTATGTGGAATTTTTCAAATGAAATCAATTCTAGAAAATAATGCCAAGTCACTCCACGGATTTTGCGTGCCTTTTTTATTCCCTTGTTCTATTTTATCTACCTTTTACTCTTTCCTCTGATTTACGTTTTGTCGGGCTGTTTATCACGTTTCTTTCTTACTCTTTTTTTTTGTATGTTGTTTTGTTTCGTTTTTCTTGCCGATACATGCTCAAGTTCTTTTGTTAAATAAACTAATAAAAAAAATGATTTCAAAAAAAGTGTTTATAGTTATTAAAAAAAAACGTACGTTTCATTATAGCTATGAAAAAAAAGGGTTTGTTTTATAATTTTGTCTGGGTCTCTTTCTCCTTCTCCTACTCAAGCATATTTCTAGCTAAGTGTTTCGTTTTCGTTTCGTTAAATATATGAATAAACAGCCTGAAAACTTGAGCATGTCCAGCCAAGTTTAGCCATTTCGTTACGTATAAAATAGACAAAAAAATTGGGTATATAAATTATGAAAAAAAATATATATTCATATATCTGGATTAACTTCAGCTATAAACATACACGATGCCCGTGTACGTTTCTGCGGCATAGTTTGCGCCAAAAAAATCAGTTTCAGACACAGAGAAAAAAAAAACAATCAGAGCTTATGTCTTCACGCCTACAATGCTATATAGTTTTAGATATATTATTATGTGTGTGTTCTTGTATAGTTTATATTTTGTTGTATATATTTAATTATGATTACACGTTATAAATATGTGACAAAAAAATGTGTTTCTCTTAGTTTTTTTTCTCTTCTAAGTTTAAGCAAAAAAAAGATCGGCTTCCTCGTCGAGTTATATATATATGATTAATTAATATTGATTTGTATACATATACGTGTGTTGCCTTATTGCTAGCTACAAAAAGAAAAAAAAGATTTCTCTCTCAAAAAAAAAGCACAAAAAAACCAACTACAACATAAGGGTTAGAGTGAGGAACGTACGAAAAAAAAAAGAAGTAGGTAATTAATTCTTGGGGTTTGAGAACATACAAATTTGGATTTTTGTATATGGTTTCGATGGATGCTGATACTACGATGATCAATATTAGGTATTCATAGTTTTTCATATATGTATATATAAATTGTTGTTATATTTAATTTCTTATTTGAAGATTGCCCTCATCATACGCTTTTCAACTCTCTGGTTATGTACGCCATAAGAATCCAACATTTGCGGGGTTTGGGGATGATGCCGTTGCCGTTGCCGTTGATAAAGTGCAAGTCGACGCCGCTGCTGATGATGATGATGTTGTTGTTGATGCCGCTGTAGTGTTGTTGAAGCCGGTGTTCAGATGCAGCTGCTGCAGCTTCAGTGTTTGCTCATGCAGTTCTTGCTCAGTTGTGGGCATGTTGAAACTGAAGTCGTGTTGCGGCGATTTCTGGTTATTGGCGTTGGAGAGATGGTTGGAGCTGTTGGAATTGCTGTTGCTATTTCCAACCATGTTGTTGCAGTTCTTGTTGAAATTACCGCTGCCAGCTGCATTTTTGGGGAAGTTGCCGCTGCCAGGTGCATTACTATAGTTTCCGTTGCTGTTGGTGTAATTGCTGCTGCCAGAAATATTGTTGGTGAAGTTGCTGCTGCTTGTCGCAGTGTTGGAAAAGTGACCATTGTTTGTGGAGTTATTGCTAAAATTTGCACTGCTTGCGGGATTGTTGTTGTGGTTCCCACTTCTTGTGGGGTTGCTGGGAAAACTGCTGCTGGCGCCATTACTTGCAAAAGCGCCAGCGTTGTTGTAACTGCCACTTAAACAATTGGAGAGATTTGAAATGTTGTTAAAGCCGGAATTACCAATCGCAAGCAGTTGACTGCCCAAACTGCCACTGCTGCCATTATGGTGTGGTTGTCGTGATTGTTGTTGAAACGGCGGCGGCGAGGGCATTGTCAACGGCAGTTGTTGCTGCGATTGTTGATCCTGCGGTTGTTGAAGTTGCAATTGCTCCTGAAGATAGTGTAGTGCAGCAACTCCGTTCTGGCGTATGGTGTTAAAGTTAATGCTATTGGTGTTTGTGTTGTTTATGTTATTATTGCTTCCATTCGGACTCATATTGTGAGCAGCAACATTGCCCAGGCGTTGTTGTTGTTGTTGTTGATGGTAGTTCTGGTGATAGAGTAGCATGTTGTTCTCATTACCATTGCCATTGCCAATACTATTGTTGTTGTTGTTGTTACTGGTGAAGCCCAACGCCTGCTGCTGATGTTGTAGTAGTTGCTGCTGCTGTTGCGGTGTCAATTATAAGTAAGGATAATGGTACTTCCTACGGTACAGTCCATCAAGCAAATCGGCAAAGTTATCGCCTAGATTAATTTAAGGTGCGAGAGCGAAGAAAAGTTAGAAAAATAAAACTTATTAGTAAAATATAGAAACATTTTAAAGTTATCATGCCATATATTAACAGATACATTTAAAAAAAAAACTTATTGAGTAATTATATATATATCCCTGAACGTTGCTAGAGCCCTGACTTAACTAGCCTAGGTGAGAGAGATTAATTAGGTTTAGTACTTTTTTTTAGAGTTTCTTATTGTCTTTTAGATGGTGTTGGGTTAGTGTTATTTGTTGTTTGTTTTTCTTGTTTTTTCTTTGTTACTTTTGATTTACTTTAAAGATTTTGTTGTAGTTTTAATTCAAGCTGGATTTGTAATTGCATTATTATTATTGGTTTTTGATTACAAAGGCTTTCCCACTCGATATCACACGATTAAAGGGTTTTTCGTAATTTTTCATTAGCGTGCCATGTTTTCTCTTTCTATTTTTTTTTTTTTTTGTGGAACATTTAGGACGGGAACAGGATTTGGATTGGTGTTATTAAAACAATTTGATGACTGATCTCGTGATAGTCTAATTATGTGTGTTTATGTTGTGACTGATCTGTGGGCGTATGTTAAGCACTCACACACAAATATTTAAGTGCGTTCAAAGAACAGTAGCAAGCAAAACAAGTCGGTATATAGTTTATATTAAATATCTAGTTAGAGATTTACACGGGTTTGAATTGGTTTAAGTTATTTTGAGCAAGAAACATTTACGAACTGGGGAGCGTTGATGAAGAAATTTAAGTTCACAGAGCAGACAAATCAGACCATGATGGGTTTCGATTAAACAAAAAGCTATTAAAAAAAACACTAAACAAAACTTTCGCAACATGTGGGCTCTAGGAGAACTTAGTATTTGTTTTAATACAGGGTGATTGTTAGGCGCAAGCAAACACAGCTCTGGTTAGCAGTTTAACTCATTCAAGAGCCAGCAGAAGAAATTTAGATACAATTTTTTTATGATTTAATATAGAGTTCGGATTGGGTTCGATCTAGAAGTACAATTTTTTTTTGGCATTTTTTCAATTGGAACCATTTTGAATAACGCTCTAAGCCCTTGACCCTTGCTTAAAAAAAAATCACATAAAAGCAAGATCCAAGGGCCGAAAAATTTGTTGTAGTTCGACTTTTTTCAGAGAGATGGTTTGGTAGCTGGGATGATATGAGAGAAAGTAACAAAGAAAAACATGGCACGCTTTCAAAAGAAAATTTGCATTATTTTCAAAAATTTTTCTTTTTAAATATATATTTTTTTAAGATTGATGAGCAAATTTAAAAACTGAAATAGATTATTTCATTTCTGTCTTCTCAATCATGTGGGAGCGCATGAGTGTGCGTGTGTTGTGTGCGTCTGTATAGGTGTGCTCTCTTCTTGATAGACTCTACTTATATAGAATACAGGCTCTGTTTTCGATCTCTCGGCTAGATCTGTCTTAAGGGCTCTCAAAAAATAAAAAAGCTCTATAATTAATTGCTTCCCTGCGTTAGAAAAGCAAGGTTCTATAATGATTTACGACTAGGAGTAGTTAATTAGAAATATAAGTATATAAAAAAGGAATAATTACTATCGAGACCAAAGATAGCATCGCATATAGCATCGAATAATGAGCGTAATTTTTCCATAGCTCCGTCTATAATGAAAAAAGGAACGAAACGAAAAAAAAATTGTACAACTTGGATTAGTTGCGGCGCAGATTGAGTTTTTATTTTTTTTTTTTTTTTTTTTGATTGGTTGGGTTGGTTGATTTGCTTGATTTTGGATGGGATGGGGGAATTATAAGATTGATTTTTTGGTTTATAGAAATTGTTTTTCTTTTGATTTCTTTGTCAACAACAATCAATGAAAATGAGAATCGGTCGCTTTTCCTTGGTTTGAACAAGAAAAAATGATCGGTTCGGGGTTAGTGCTGTGAGTCAACTTAAGTACAGTGTCTACGGCTTGGAAACAACAACGAATTACGATGAAAATCAAAAACTACGGTAACTTGGAAACGAGAGTCCAGAAACTAAATTTAAGCTAACAAAAATTAAACCAAACTAAAAATGAGTCATACAAATTCAAACTGTCTTCGGCGAAATTGTCCGAAGTACGAAAATATTCTTGCAATTGGATTGACGGGATCAATACGGGGATCTGTGTATCGCAAGGATATCGCTTAGTCCCTCGCATTCACATTCACAAAATCTTTAGAAAAAACGTTGCATACTTTCGGTATTCTATACGGTTTTCAGATGTAAAGATGCCTGTGAGCTTAAATAGATCACAGAAAAGTATTGTCTGACTTTCAGAGCTTAAATTATTTAAAACAAAACTAAATTAATAATTACTCCATACCGAGAAATATAGGCAGCGCTTTCGAATGAAGATAAGGCGAATATAAAACAATTTCTGGGCAATTTTCATAATTTTAAAAACAAAATATTTTTTCAAATACTCAAGAAAACATTGCAAACGACAGCATACTTTTTCTCAACTTGAAACAACAACAACAAAAAATTAAAGTTTAATTAAGGATTCAAATAAAACAAATATAGGGATATTCAAAATCTACAAAGAAGTTCAGATGAAGGTTTTTGCACATTTTTTGCTTGGCTTTTGTAAAAATGATTGTAAATGTAAATTTATAATTAAATACATGGAATTGGGTTTGCTTAAAAATCCACACTGAAAACACTGACAGGCACAGAAAAAAAAATATAGTCAAATTTTTTTATATGATGCGTATTTGTTTTGCGAGCACTAGGCAGATATGATTAACAAAAAAAGAATATAGCTTAGCACACAATTTTCACTCGAATAAATGTTATTATGAAATACACTGTCAAAAAAAGTTAAAAAAAATAGGAATTTATTTATTATTTTAACTGTTTTTATTTTGTTGGCACTTGAACCGATAAAGGGGTGAAAACGATCAGAGAGAGAGACATCAAGATGGCTATGGTTTTGTGTTTATATATCACCGTTTTATCGATCCATATAAAAAAAAACATCACATTAAAAAAAAGAAAAAAAAACAATAGGGTCTTATGAGAGGGTTTTTGAAGGTTTATTTTATGTAGGGGTGGTTGAGTGACAAGTTGTGGCAGCACCCCGTTATCGTTTCGGTTGAGTGCGCGCATACTTACCATGCGCCTTTCACTTCTTTCTAATCACTTTCACAGTGTCTCTCTCTGTGTCTCTGTCTGTCACACAGCCGTCCGCCTCTCTCTGTCTCTTGTGCCGGGGTACTGTAACTGTAACGGGAAATCTGCACTCGCGCTCTCGTTCTTACTTGCTCGCACGCACGCGTGGTAGATGGGGGATGGTGATATCCTGCCAATACTCACTCGCCGTCTCATTCTCTCGCACCCAAACACACACACATAAACCCACACACACACACAAGGCAGATTAGCAAGATCAAAAATAAAAAAGAAAAACAAAAAATAGTAGAGGAGTTGTGGGAGAAAAACTTCCCGTTGTAGGATATAACATCCAGTTGCATTTCCAACACTTTTTTTTTCAAATTTTCTTAAACTTGAACAAAAAATAAAAAAAATTTGCAGTTTTGGTTTTTGTTTTTATGTTTGTTTTGCTTTTCGCCTTTTTATTATATTCTCTGGTCACACTTTCAGGTTTTTGTTTTATATGCTTGATTTTCGATTTGAATGCTTTTAACGCACTACAAACTAAATAATTATTAAAAGTTAACGCTATTTTATAGAATAGGTTTTATAGTGAAATATATTTGTATATATAAGTATATCTAAATAGGTATTTCTTGTAAGTTTACGTTTTCTTTTTGTCAATATATGGGTAAAAACTTGATGATAGAAACAAGTTAAAAAAAAGACGGAAATTACTGCGCTTTCTTTTTGTTTTAAATTGTTATGTTGTATTATTTTCAGTGAATTGTAGTTGTTGTTGTCGCTGGTATAGATGAGCAAATTATAACAAAAAAAAATTGGCGTGATTCGATTTCGATATTTCTGATGCGTTCGGAAGATGCTGAAGAGGTGGGTGGAGCTAAAGGGGTTTCATTTTAATGCTCGGCAACGCTTTAGTAATTTTTTACTCCTTTATATTTGTATTTGTTTATTATGATTTGTTGGTTTTCTGTTATAATTCAGTTCTGATTGCTTATTTGCAATATTAATTCATCACCAGTCTTTTGTAAACAGGAAAAAAATGTTCAAAAAAATACTTCAAGAACAAAAAAAAATTGCACACTCTCCTATTTTTTTTTAAGTGGGGTTTCCTTTGCATATAAAGATATATATAGTATATATTTAATGGGTTACTTTTTATTTTTATTAGGTCGAGGTCGATCAGTCCTTGTTTGGTTTATTAATATATATTTCTCATTATGTGCATTTCGGTGAATTAGTTATGTAACAAAATTACAGCTTAACAATTTCTCATTTCGCTGTGATTTTATTCTTCTTCAGAAAAAAAAAAACAGTTCCAATTTGGAACACACACACTTTAAAAAAATGTTCAAAAAAAATGGTCGTTTTAGCCAACACTTTACGCGAACTTTTTTAAGTGCTATTGAACCGTTTTGCCTGTTTGTTTGTGTGTGTTGTAGCTTGGTGTGGGTAAGTGTGTTTGTAGTTGTGAAATAAAAGCTCAAGTTTTTAACCTAACAAAAAATGTTGATATCTTTCATTTCTTTTTAAGTTTTAAGTTAGTATCTAAATACATGTTTTTTTTTTAATTTTTTCAAAATATTAGTTTTTTTTTTTTTTTTTAAGAATTTTGTATTAATTTGTAATTACACTAATAAAAATTAAAAAGTATAATTCAATTTTGCCATTCTTTTCAAATATACCTTATATGTATTAGTATAATACATATGAACGGTTTTTAAATTGCAACAATCATTGAATCATTTTTGATAGTTAAGATCAAATCATAAAACTAAGATTTTGCTGTTGGTTGTTAGTGAGTTATTTGTTTGTTGTTTGTTGAGTTGGTTTTTGTAGACTATGTTTTGTTGTTGTTGTTGTTGTTTGTTGATTACCAAAAAAAACAAAATATATCAAAGATTTAAGATGGATAACACTACCGACTGGTATATATAAACTATATACCCATCGAAGTATGTTTATGAATATTTTTTGTGTGTGGCTTGTGTGTTTCATCTTGTATGCGTTTCTGGATTATTTTTGTTTTTCAGATAAACTTTTTGGCATCAAAATAGGGATGCGAGTTTTGTAAGCGTTGCTGTGATTTTATAGATCTACCTCTGTGCACCAAGTTGTTGAATCCGGCGGCCATATGTGGTGGCGGTGGTGGCGGCGGCGGTGGGACACTTGGCGCAGCCACGCCCATCTGCGACATAAAGTGCGCCGCCTTCGCCTTACCGTGCTCCTCCGCCAACCGGACGGACAGCGGCTGCGATCCGCCCTCGGGTATTACGTTGTTCAACGCCGATATGGCCTCCTGGGCCTCCTCGCGCTTGTTGTACCTGTTTTCAGTTTGTTTTTGTTATCGATCAAAAGTACACACCGTAGATGGCGAATGAGCGATGGTACGACAAAAAAAATGAGAGAAAAGAAAAAAAAAACACGTGATAAGCCGAGTGTCGAAAATAATAAAGGCACATTTGAACACGGCCAAGAAAAATACATTCAAGAGTCCTGCAAGTCGAAATTTTAATTGCAAATTCTTAATAAAGTTACAAAAATTTCAAGGATTTCGACTACAAAGCATTCGACTTACAGAAGCCCGATTGTATTTTTGAACATAATCTCTAGCCAGTTAATTGCTCATCATTATTATAATATAATAAATTATATTTAGGACTCACCGAACGAATGCAACACCTCGTGGACGACCGGTGAGCTTGTCACGCAAGATATTCTTCTGCACAATGGAACCGTATTTGCCAAAGATTGTATCCAGCTGATCGTCGGTTATGGTGCGCGGCAGATTGGTCACATACAGATTGGTGTCCTTAATCGATTCCCCGCCAGGGCGAGCATAGGATACCTATTGGAAAATACAGCATGGATTAGTAATTGCTACTTTATTAAACGAAGTGTTCTGAAGAACCTACCTTGAGCCGCTTGTTGCGCACTGTGATGCCATTCAGCACTTTAATCGCACGCTGCGAGTCCATTTCCGATGTGAAGTCCACGAAAGCATAACCAAAACTGTAGCCAGTCTGTGGGATATATTTAAAAAACTGATCAGTTGAGGAAAGCAAAGACAGCACTCGGATCACCTACCTTATAGTCTCTCATGATTCTGCACGTGTTAATGGGTCCGATGGCTCTGAATAGGGCGTACAGCTCGCGATCGGTCATATCCTGGGGCAAGTAGTTGACAATCAGGTTGGTGTTGCTCGCCCGCGGATCGTTCATGAGATCATCGCTACCGCCGCTGCCCAGCGACAGGCCGCACAGGTTGTTCAGCGAATTGTTGCTGGCCATCGGCGGCAGATGGCACATGTTGCCGCCGCCAAGGTTGTTGGCACTACCGCCATTTCCACCGCTTCCGCCGCAGCCGGGAAAATCATTGTAACCGCGACGCGACGAGGAACTTGGAAATGAAAATTCTGTATCCTGTGGCGAAAACGCATAACGTGACTGTAATCAGATTAACCATACAAAGATATTCTAGTGTTGTGAGAAGGCCTCATATCGCTTGTCTTGGGGGTTGATTATTAGTAGATTGATTGGATGGTTCGGTTTTTAGCTGGCTGCTGCTGCTTTGGTTGTTTCGTTTCTATCAATGTCACGATATCTTTAGATCGATTTATACATATGCACATATGTATGTACATCGATCGTTGCTTTCGGGCAGCAACAACAACAACACACAACTTAGTTAGTAGATGAGGTGACGAAGGCTCGAAGTGGCTTAAAACGTAGAAATCTACGACAAAACGCTAACGGTAACAATATTCCAAATGCAAATTTCCCGAAAAATCGTTCTCTTTAATTAATATGTTGCGATTAGTTTTTAAGGCGTGCTTGAAACTCGAGTGCAGCGATTTTGTATTGTATTTAATTTTTGATTTGAGCATTAGAGGTCAGAACATTCTTTTGCTTATAACTTCCGTGTGTTTGTATTATTTGTCTGTGTGAGCTAAATGGCATTCACGGGGTTGCAAAAACCAAAGGCGAAAAAACATGGAATTCCAAGAATGCATAAAAAGTTGCTTTTCCTTCTTTAGTGTTCTTAAGCTTCTTTAGTGTGTCCAGAGTAGTAGGTGTTTTTTTTTTTGTGTTTTTATTCGAGGGTGAATTCTGTAAGGGTCTCAGTGTCATTGAGGAAAGTGTAAACACAGTGCGAGGCAAAAATATTGGCCGAGTACAAAATAAACGCATTAATTTTAGATGGATAATGTTTTTTCAAGGTTTTGTTATTTACAATTGATGAAATTGTTATTTCTCATTTCGTGAATGTTTTGAATTAAGTGGTTAAAGTTATCATTACGTTATATGAAGCAATGACCTTGAGGGTTTCCAATTTTCTGCCCGTCACTGTAAAACAAAAGTGCGCAAAGCGCCAAACGGAAGCCGAAGCTGAAGCAGAAACGGAAATGGAAATGGAAACGGATAAGAGACGGACAAGGTGGAACGGTGACACCTAAAGGTTTTCTATTAAGAATAGTGTTTGCTTTCCATGGTTCATGCAGGTGTGTTCGATTTTTTTTTTTGCTTATTTTGTATTTCTGTGTTGCATTGTTTAGATATTTCTATTTAGGGGTTTTGTATTTTTTAAATTGTTGTTTGTGTTGTTGTTGCTGGTTAGTTTTTGTTTGGTTTATGTTTACTTTGTTTATGTTTGTAGTTTAAATTGAAACTTTAGGCTTTTATTTTTATCACTAAACCATAATGAAATTGTTCAGCATCCACAAAACATAATTCTGTTAAGTATTAAGTATTTGTTTGTTTTTCAAAAGCGTGTGTCCCCAGAGCGTTCATGAGACAAACTCAATAACATACAACTATTAAAACTAAAGGGCATAAAATTTATAATATTATTATCGTTATAATTATCAAAAAAAAAAACGAAACCAAACAAAACAAAATACAAAAGTTAGTCAATATCAAATGCATTGCTTTCGATTTGAATTAAAATTTGTAGATTTTTTCACTGTTCTCTTGTTTGACTTTGCTTTCATGCAATTGAAAATGGAAATTTGTCGCTAACAATAATTATAAATTTCAGGCGTTAAACTAGACACAAAAAGTGAGGTATACTAACCATTCCGGATGGTAGAGAATGGGACATGCCAAATCCACGCCCTCCGCTATGAGATGATGCGATGTCATTAGGAAAGAAAAAAATATCGATTAGCTCTTCAGGAAATGATATTGTTTTTTTTTTTTGTTTAAAAAAATATGTACTAGTAAAAGTATCAAAATTATACGTATAAAGCGCAATTTACAATCTTTTGTTAAATATTTTAAAAATGTTTAAAAAATGTTTTGGCGTCGGATGATTTTACGTTATTTTCTTAACACTAACTTAAGCTTACGGCTAGGCTAACTTATTTATAAAAATGGCTGCGTATTATAAGATTGCTATGATAGAAAATTCTCAATTTACTTATATTTAACAGACAAAACTATTATTGGTTCAAAAGAGAAGACTTGAAATTGTGATTTTACGGATTTTGTAGTTTCTTAGGAACTATAACATGGCTGACCTTTTGTAAGACCCCTCAGTTATAGTCCCCTTGAATACTGCAAAAACCAATTCGCAATTAGGGTAAAAGCAAAGTATTTTCACTTTAAATGTTAAGAAAACATGATGTATTTTTTTGTTGTACTTTCGATTCACCGAAAAAAAATTTTAAAAAATAATCATGGGATTAACTCTGAACCCATTTTTAATTCCAATATCGGACACTTCGTTGTAGCACATTTTCACTTTAAAAAAATAAAAAAAAATTATCACTTTTCGCACTTTTTTTTATCACATAAACAAAAAAGTATATAAATTTGGAATAGGATCTGTTCGCCTTCCCACGTCGAATTTTGTTTGCAGATCAAGCATATATTTATGTCTACGTTAGGGCTTATATTGATTTGTATAGTATTTTTAAATGATGTTTCCCCAACATACTTTTATTTGTCTATAATAGTCTTAGAGTCTTGTTACTTACAGGGCGTTGGTGGCGTCCTCGATTCAAAAACATTTCGTTTCGTAGACGAGGAGCCGCTGGGGGGCGGAGCAGGCGCGTTTGCCCCCCCGTGCAAATTAAAACTACATACTATCTAAAGAGTAAGTGAGTGTCTTTAGCTATTAGACGATTTCGGTCGGTGGCTTCTTCTTTCTGGGCTGTGGAAAAAAATGTCTACACTCGATTAAAATCAGCTGCATTACAACGTCGATGATTGGGCGTTACATAATTTTGCTTGGATAGGGAGTTTTTGGTTTTTGTAGATGATTTGGAGTGTGTGTGTGTGGTCAGGGTTCTTAAAATTTCGTTTTTAGTTGCCACAATATGTACGAAAAAGAAATGGGGCTAAAACATCTCATTTTTTTGCTGGCAAGGGCTCACTTGGATTTTGTGTTTCCTTTTTTTTAGTTTGCACATAAAAAAAATATTTAAAAAAAAGGTAGACTTCGGTGGCAAGATTCGCCTCTTTTATATTTTCACAGTAAAAAAAATGTAAAAAAAAGTTTAGGGAGACCCTAAAAAGTTAAAATATGCGTTGAGAAGGTCACTGTGCGCTGGCGTTGATTGTTGACATTGTTGATTGATGCAATGCTGTTGCTCTGCTTGCGGTTTTGATGTTGTAGTAGTATTTTTGTAGTTGCTGGGCCCCCGATGACCTTGAGCAAATGTTGCATTTGCATTTCGCCTTTTGGCTTTTTTCATTTTTGCTGCTACTCTCGATTAAGATAAGGAGAAATAGACAGCACAGTGATTCAAAGAGGGAAAGAGTGGGGTATAAACAATTTGTCGGCTTGATGCATCGGGATATGTGAGGGATGTGTATTTGGGGGGCTGGAGTGAGATGGCGACGCAATAACCACAACAACAACCGGTGCTTAAGGCTAGTTATAAACTGTAAAATCGTCCATCACATGGCGTGGGAAAGAGACAGACATACGTACATAACTTAAGGCTACTGCATGTCAAGGTCCTGACACAATTTCCACCCAGCACGTGATACACTAAATTTTGAGAGAGGGGAGGGCCTCGTGTGGTTGCTCTGTTTACATTTCATCGACTGCTGAATAATGGTGCCATAAATTATACGACCCCAAAGAAGAGAAAAAGAAGCAGAGCTCATAAAAATGTCACGAATACTGCTTCGTTTTCTCCATATATTATATGTCCTATGATGATTTTATAAAAATCAGACCATGGCTTGACCTCACTCTTCTTTTTTTTTGGCAGCAAAAAACAGTCAATTTTTCATTTCTTAGGCAAATCCTAAAACTTAAAGCTTAATCGGCGATGACTTTTATATGAACAATGCGGGGCGAAATAAAGTAAAACTCACAAAAAAAATCAACAAAAGGCAATTAAAGCAAGAAAGTAAATACTTTTTAGTTTAGTTTACGCCAAGCAATAAGTGTGGTACAGAAAAAAAGTAAAGATAAAAAGAGAGAGGTAGAGTTACAAGAACATTTACCGGTACATTGTGAGACTGTTTAAGTTGCACAATCCGCACGATGAGAACGTTTTAGGGCCGTTTCTATAATCCTTTTGCCACAAAAGAATTGCACTGGTGCAGATACATTTATCTGCCTTCGTCTACGCGTGAATATATAGAGATATAAGAGCTCCGATTCCCAGCGGGATCAAAACTTTTTTTGTGGCCCAAACATGGCGCGCTCGCTCTTTGTAAATGCAGTTTGATCTTATAAGTGGTATATATATATATATTTATATATAAATATGGAAGATTGCGTTTCTCTACGTTGTTTCACGTTGCTCGGTTAACATTTTTGCTATTGCTTATATTTTATCACATACAACTGTAAATATAGGACAAAAATAAAGCATGTCGCGATTACGAAAACACACAGACGGCGATCAGCTGATTTCGGGTGAGAGTATGTGCGAGTGTTGGATTTAATGCAATCGCATGAATGTATGCTATGAAAAATGGCATAACACAAACGTAACATCTAGAGCGAACGATATATGACAGTACAGCTAATGAGAGACCTTCGATTTAACAAAAATAACATCATTCTTTACAGGGGTATACTGTGAATAAATTAACATTGTCTAAGAAAAAAGAAAGAAAAAAATACATTTGGGAATGGAGCTTTTAGGGATGGACTGTACTTATACCGGGTGTTCCCCCAAAAACGATTGACTGTTTTTTGCTGCTCTGGCTCGCTATCTATTATGTATACGTGTGTTCGTTTATATCAATTGCTTTTGTTGATAATCGGTTATTGGTTTTTTATCATTGATTGCACCATCGAGTACATATAACATTTAATTATACTTATATAAATCCTCCATGCTGTGGTTGCGGTTATTGTTATCCATTCCTGTGGCTGTTGTCGTTGGATTTCTTTATTTCTCTGACAATATCAGAGCACATAAATAAAACAAAGAACGACGTGAACTAAAAAACTAAACAATGTGTTTGGGTGTGCGAATATGATATGAATAAGGGGTACATAAGGGGTAAAAGCACTCAATATAATTTATTTGTTAAGGCAGCTCGACATCGACCCCAAATCGATAATAATCTCAAGATCTTATTGACTGGCAATCGACATCCTTCCCTGCATACACATACCAATGCACCAAAGCCTTTAAGTTTTGCTAATTAAAAACAGTTTCGACAATACAAAAAAAAAAACGTAACTTTCATAACTAAATAACCCTAAGTCTAAGCAAAAATTGACGTTGCCTGTATATAAATTTCCAGCAACAGGATATTCTTCTTCGTACAAACTATTAAAAAAAAAGGTTGGGTTGGTATTTTGTTCGTTCGCCAAAGAGATCTGGGTAGCAAAAAAATTAGGTAAGCACTTTATCATCTTTGTTTTGTGTGTTGCGTATGGGGGGAAAGGAAAGGAGGTGGGGAAAAGGGAAATACAGTCGAAATTCTTTTATTTTAAATATATTTCTATATATTTTCAAAAACTTTATTAAACATTACTTGCTTTAAAATAAATTATATTCTTTTTGTACATTTAATCTTTTGTTGTTTAAAGGTGGCACTAGACTGATTTGTAATATAGAAGTTCGACTGAATGTTTGAGTTTGAAATTTAAATAAAGATCAAGGTTCAACACAAAAGGATATGGGGCGAATGTGGCTGACGGAACGCAAGAACTCAAGTTTAAAAATTTACCTCGACTTGTTGTTGTAGCCATATGGGGGATAACCACCGTTATTATTATTACTACCGGGATTATTGTTGCCGTACATATCCTGAGAGTTGCGAGTGTGTTTTTCGAATCAACAAAAATAACACCCTCGGTCGGATGTGAGTGTTGGGTTTTGGGGGAAAAAGGATATGAGGTGAGTTAAGGCTGGAGAGCGATCTTTTTCGATCTCTTCCTCGACTGTTGGCGCTCAGCGCTCTCAGCTGGCCTGCTGCTGTTGGGTTTTCGGCTGAATCCCTTCTGTCTCTCTTCAAATTTATCGTATTGCTCTTGCTGTTGTACTAATGAAGTTGTTGTTTTATTCCTTTCGCTTTTTACATATGTGCACACACTGTGCTTCTTAATTCCTATGGTTTTTCTCTTAGTGTGTTGGAGGCGCGCTGTTGTAGTTGTTGTAGTTGAAGAGATGATAGAGTTGTTGTTGTTGGTACTAAGAGTTGATTGATTCAGTTTAGTTTTGAATTATTTGAATTTCCCCTATTTTGGGATAGGTGGGGGTTATACTACATTATAAGGTTAAAATAAAACATGGCAAAGACGTGAATTGTGTGCGACGCGATTGAGTGAACGAAATGAAGAACTAATACAAAACATGTTCAAAAATTCCATTGTAACGTATTGAGCTGAGTTTATGCGCGTGTGTGCGTGAGTATTTAAAGCTAGAATTCTCCGTTTAAAAACTTATCAAAAAACCATCATACTAAATATTTATATAAACCTGAATATTGTTCATACATTATTCCAAATATTAAGCCTATCTTCAAGCACCTTTAAAAGATTTTTCCAACAGAAATAAATCATTTTTTAAAGTACACCAACCCCGCCATTTAAATAACATTGAGACTTAAACATTTAACACTTTGCATACAGTCGATATCTTAGCAATAAATTACCATCACAAATTATGAAGCCAAAACACAAGTAAATAAGCTGCGCTTTTATACAATAATTAGACAAGCAATCAAGTGAAACAATATAACCCGACATACCTGGCCATCTTAAAGTTATAGTATGACGACATGGTCGAACAAGGAGTCACAGTATCAAAATTGAAATCCATAATGGGATAATCACAACCTTTTTATTTTCAACGAGTTGAATGTAAGGCACACAAGAAATCACAAGATCTTTGAACACAAGTTGGACTTGTCACGAGTGGAACTCGACTGAAGAGGTCCTGTCGACTTTCGATCTATATAAGGATCGGTCGGAGGGGTCTCGGCCTAGTGGGCGGTGGGTGGCAGGTAGAAATCGAAGGAGGCAAGGTGCGCGTGCCAGTCGCGTGTTCTACCTAAGATCCCATGGATTGAACCCGTGAGGAAGCGTGCCAGGCGTACTTTATTGGGTGGCCGGCTGCATTTCGCGGATCCCCGAATCCCCGATTCCCAGATCGCAGATTTTGGCAGGCAGATGTACTGCATTCTCGGAAGCTGGATGCCGGCAAGGTGCTAACTTTTTCTATGCCGTGTGGGTGGAAAGGTGGAACGTGGCAAGCTGCAAATTAATTACTTGGAAGCAAGCTGCATTTTTTGGTGCCTCGACATGAATTCGGTTGAATATTTCCCAGGACTAGTACGGTTTGGATTCGGGCGAAACAGATTTCTTTAATCAAAATGAACTGAATTGGGATTACCAAAAATTTAACTTGAACAAAAATATTTAAAAAAACAATCTATATCAACTATATTTAAAATAAGCCTTCATCTATCACATTCTTTTATCAAACAATAATAATAATTCGAAATAAATAAAACTAGCATGATAACCAGCATAAATACTTTACAAATCTTTTTAAAATCTTTATAAATCCAAATTATCGATTTACTTGTATCACATTATTGTATAAAATTAAATTTCCATAATCATTATCTCCGCTATAATTAACCCATAATATAATCCCATTTTCCTGCAGCCGATTGCAGCTGCCTTTTTGCTCGGATTTCGGGGAGGGGCAGGTGAAAATGTAAATATACCTCTCGCTTATAAAAAGGCCGGGTGGAAAAATCTCGCAGTCCAACTTCAAAATACCAAGAACCAGACTGTAGAAATTTCTGCAATTATTTAACAGAAACTTTTAAACAGTCAAGGTGTTCAGTTGACTCTTTCCAAGGAAGAAAGTAAGGTTTATTTATATTTTCATAAAAATAAAACTCAGTGAAGATAAGTTAAACAAATAGTTGAAATTAATTTAAAGCAAGGGTGAAATATTATTCATAAATGTTTGTTAATATTAAATTATTTGAAAACATAGGGTGCTCGTTTACCCTGGAATGGACTTCGTACAACAACACAGACATCGTGTTGCCTTGAGTTCTAATTTTAACATTCAAAGCTTGTTTGTATTAAGGGGGGGTAAGGTTTTAAAGGCCAAAAAAAGGGCCATGTTTGATTTTTTTTTGCGGCGAAATGAGTAAGTTGATTTTATTGAGCTTAATTACATGTATTTGTTTAACTTTTGAAGAGTATTAGAAAAAAAAATTATTAAAAAATATTAAAAAATAAGCCTGTGGCGGTTAATCTTCCGAAGCTCCCAAAGAAAAAGTTGTTTTGCGGTGAACATCATAGGGCGTTAACGGATCATCTTAAAAATAAATTGTGATGTGCGTTGTAAAGATAATGAATTTCCCGAGGTAATCAGGAAGAGTTTTTTTTTAATTTATTTTTTGTCTATTTTTGGGAGCACTTGAAAGTGAAAAGTGCGATTTCAGCTTAAAAAATCGCTGTTAATTTATTTTTTAAAAATAGAAAAAAATTAAAAATTAAAAAAACTCTTCCTGATTACCTGCGTATTTATGTTGAGATTTTGTGTTAAAAATTTGAAAAGGATCGGTTCAGTAGATTTTGAGTTCTGATGTTCACCGACTTTCAAAATAACGTCTTCGGCAAAATCGATTCAAAGTATTTTTATACGTGAAAATACGTCCAAATACGGTTGTTTAAAACGCTGTAACTCTGTTAGTTTGACTTTAATTGACTCAACATTTTTACACAATGTTCTCGACACATTGGTCATTCAGAAAAAAAATAAAAAAAAAATTTGTAAAAAAAAAATTTTTAAAACCTTACCCCCCCTTAATAATCTTTCAAGTTCATTAACTACCTCTTTCACAGTCCTTAAATACATATATTCAACACTATACAATGAAGCATTTCCAATGAGCTTCAATGTAATTTTGTTTATAACAGGTATCACTTTGGGATCCCCCGGCCAACTAAAAAAGAGCAAAAAACTTTTTCCATTTCAAGGGAACGAAGGAGGAGTCCAAAGTTTTGGCAACCAGGGAACAAGGAAAATGAGAAATTGCGGAGCTGAGAGAGGAAGAGAAGAAAAAGAGGAGCCAGAAAACGAGGGCAGCAAAATGAGGCGCAAAAGTGGGCGGGCCTAAATCGCTTTGGGTCGCTCAGGAACACAAAAACCAGAAGAAAGGCAGGGTGGAATGGGGTGGTACGGTCACAATTTCGAGGGCTGCTTTTCCCCCACATACAATACACAGCAGATTGCGGAAAAAAGAAAAGAAAAACAGAAGCCCATGGAAGGAAAATATATACAGAAATACATGAAACAGTGTATGTACCTCGCTTTCCAGAGAAAGAAAATGCGGAAGTAGAGAAATGAAAAGCGTCACAGACTCTGAATTCGGGAAAAAAAAGATAGGGGGAGGGGCAAAGAAAAGGGTAACCCGAAGGTCGGTCTCGCAAAAAGGGAACCTAGAAAAAGAGTAACAAAAGTCGGCTTGAGTTTCATATGCAGATGAGTGAAAGCTAAATCACTGAGAAACTAAAAACCCGAAAAAGAAAGTCCAACACGTACACTTCGAAGGAAATTTGAAAATGTCAAATTAAATTGTTGCGGCTAAATTTACTTATAAGCCCAATGACAGTGTATGTATTAAAGTTAATAGATTACTAATACTCTTTTAAAATGCTGGTATAGAAGTTATTCTCAAGCAAATTGTTTTATTTTAGAAATGCATAAATAAATAGTACATATTGTTTTTTTTGGCATACCGTGTATGCCATTCACATGTGTGTTTAATGATAAGCAAAACAGTCCAGATTTGTATTAATTTAAATGAATTCAGCATTAACTTCATTAAACCGACATTTTTCGCCAGTGTACAAAACCTAGCGCAAGAACAAAAACCAAAAACTTTACAGTTTAATAACAGTTGTCTGCTAATTTGGAGCACAGTTGTGTAAATAGAGCAGCACTATTATACACTGCTTTCTGTGTGTGCAAAACAGCTGATAAAAGTCTACTTATATATTGACAGATAACCTAGGATATATAATATATATGTACATATATCTCTGTCTAACAATCTTTCAGCTGAGAGAGTGAGTCACACGGGTGCATATGAATGGATCTCAGTCTGAAAACAAATTCACAACGGCATTGCCAGATGTAAACAACGATCTGTCGAACATTCCAGCTGATCACTCGTTTGGATTGTTTTTGTTGTCATTCAAGTGTATCCAGTTGTACGCGTGTGTTTTCAAAACACGAAATCTGAGCAAGCTTAAGAGTACAGTGGGCAATTTTAAAAAAGATAAATCCAAGAAAGGTTTACTTTAATATTTATAAAGTAATTAAACAAATCAGCATATTGTTAGATTTGAAATTCATTGAAATCGAAAAAAATTAAGTCAGTATAACTGTTGTATATCATACGCCCCACTGTACGGATTTTTTATTATTGGTCGTTGACCAAATAAGGCAAACATGGTAAAACGATCATGGGAAGTTTCGAACTTGTAATTTACGCGAGGGAACGACCTTAGTGGAATGCAAAAGGGGGAGGTGGAAATTGCTACCACCAATACAGTGTTTCAATACATTTTTACAAACGATCGTTTCGTGTCATTGCCAACAGCGAGTAGGGGAATAACACAGGGAAAGGATAAGGGGAAGAAAGAGCGCAAAAGAGGAGATGGGACGAACAGAAGAAAAATGCAGCTGCCCCTCCCCCATTGCAACCAGCTGCATCATGGAACACAGAAAAAACAGCAGCTCAACTTGGGAAAGAAAGAAACTAACTAAACTCTCTTGCTCTCTACCAGCCTAGAAAATCTCAAATCCTTTTGCTTAATGGAATAAATGAAAACCATAATATTATAAGGGCGTGTGATCGGTAAATTAAAGATAATTAACGGGAGCTCTATCTACATATGTATGTCAATATCTTATCCGCAAAATGTAACCATATGTAAAAACAAAGAACTTTAAACACGTTGCTTTCAAAGATGCATATGTATGTAACAGCTGGTAGTACCTTGGGCGACAGACGGTTGAAACAGTCGAGCACCATAAAATAGTAACAAGTTATTTCTTTGGTGCTGCTTACTACAGCAATTTTTAATACGATTCACATTGTATATACGACAAATAACTGAAAATTAATCTTTTAAAATGTTTCTCACCAAGGACATTTTTAAAAACTCTATAAATGCGCAGCAAAAAGCACATGGTGAGAAATATTGGTAAACCGGAAATATGTATACAGGATATGCATACAGTTTCTACCTAAGTGCAGCGGAACTAACAAAAGTAGAAAAAGGGAAGCAATAAAAACCTCAGGTAAGGCGACCGTGGCATTTATTACCAGAGGCGACTGTATGCATTGTTATTGTCTATTTCTACGTCATTTCTTTAAATGCCCTTGCTTTTTATTGTTTTTATTTTTTTGCCTAAAAAGCTGTATCAACTACAAACCACTTACCAATCCACTTTGTTTTTGTCTTGTTTAATATTTTTAAGTTAGAGTAGAAGTAAAATAAAATATTTAAACACTCACACACTCTGTCGTTATATATTTACTTTACAGCTTTATTTTACTACATAGTATGTTTGTATGTATAAGATGTTTAAGCGATTTTTGAAGGTATGTATATACTACGCAACTGTAACGGAAACAAAAAAGAAAAAACAAAGTGTAAGCCAAGCGCATGAATCGGTGTGCGTGTATGTGCGGGAAGAGGGAGAGGCATTGTATATATCCATACACGTCCGCTCTCTCTCAAGTAGGCACAACGGACACACGTACATACATGCGAATGACGAAGCCACAAACACCGAAAAAATAAGTACATACATAGGTTAACAACAACAGCAACGAGTGGATAGAAAAGAGAGAGAGCGACGACGTTGCCATTTAACTGCTTTGCTGTTGTTGTTGCTAGTGGTGGGAAATGCTGAATGGAATTTTACAACATGTTTTTCCCCTAGTTACTCTTGTTTTTCCACCAACTTAAAAAAAATACATACGGAAAAAAAATTAAACAAAAACAGCGAGAACTTTTCACTCGCTAGGAGTAATGTATTCGTGCCTGTGCGCAAAACCAACAAAAAAGTAAAACATTAAAAAAGAAAAGAAAAAAAGTTTATAATTGCTACTCTACTATAACTTTAAAAATGATTTATGCGTCTTTTCAGATTGTCTGCGTGTTTTCCACTATCATTTAGCTTTTCTCTTTTTGCGTTTGTACATTTCGTTTCGTTATATACACTTCACGTCACGCTAGAAACCCTGTGTGTATGTACTTCTCAATGTGCTGTCTGTGTGTATTGTTTTTTTAGGGTTCTTCATTTACGTTAGCACACAAAACACCGTCTTTGCCTTGTTTAAAACAGTTAAACTTATTCACTTTGTTCTTAGTTATTTACGTGGCGAGCACTAAACAGGGCCCCGAATCGGGAATGAAGTGAAAAAAATTACCAGAAAAAAATGCACTGCGCGACTTTCTTGAGCAACAACGGAGCAGTGTGACCCTTTCAGTTAGGGGTGGGGAAATATCAGTAGAAATATCGATGCTTAACGGCAACTATCGATGTTTACCTTTTAGGCATCGTAACTATTGTAAGTTTCTCTTAAAAATTGTCGTTTTTTTATCTTTTACGAAAATATATATATGCACAAGAGTTACTACATTTTGGCAAAAAAAAAAAACGATATAGCTTTGAACTTCGGTATTTCCAATTTTTGTTAAACAAGAAATATGTCAAACAAAATACATAAAGGCTAAACCACATCGAATACACTGTGCGACAAAATTTAACAAAATGTTTGTTTGAGTTACTTTTTTGATTGTTTTCGGTTAAGGGGCATAAGTTATGCACAAAAATATTTATGCCACCTTCTAAGTGATAAGATTTCTTTTTTTATGATAAATTTTATGAAATTATTATTATGAAAATATTTAACACAAAATATTATTTTTTTTTTTACTTCCAATAAACTATTATTTTTTTTGAAAGTGAAATTTTTTTCTGATTTTTTTTGGCTTTTTCAGAGGTATCCTCGCGTAACAAGTTCCATACGTAGTCGCCCAGAGTATAGAGCTGGGAGAAAAAAATTTTAAAGCATTGTTATAAAATCCTAACGGTATATTTGCTTAATATATTTTAATTAATAGATATTGAACTTGCATAAAACGCTTATAACGGTGAAAAAATATTTTCCCAATATGGTATTATAAGGCTGTAAAATATGCAAAAACACGCGTTTTTGGGACCTTTGAGTGTGCGTAGAAGCTGATTGGCTATTGATATTAACAAATCCAAAAACTTGTATTCTTATTTTGACTAGTAGAAGTGAAAAATAAGAAAAAATCAACTCAAACATTTTTTTGTCGCACAGTGATATATGACAATTTTTCTATTAATTTTCCATATTTTCGGCGATTGTTCAAATGACAGCTATATGATATAGTTGACCGATTTTGATAAAAATTGAATTCAAAATTCAAGAGACGTTGTCAAAAGTCTAATTTGCAAAAATCCTGATTCTATGATGAAAAACAAAGGTGTTATCATTTTATTTTATATTTTTTATATAGCTTTTTCGATCTTTTCTGTGGCATACATATATAGTTGACCAATTTTTATGAAATTTTTTTCTCATTCAAGGGTTATTAAAAAACTCCAAATTTAAAAAGTCATGCTCGTGGGATTAAGAACAACAACGTTATTATTTTTTTATTATTTAAATATAAATTTAAAAAAAAATAAAATCACCTAACTAATCATAGAATTAAACAGATTTAAAAGTGAATTGTTTTATTGGGAGAAACTAACAGTATGGGTATTCCATCGCTCAAACACATTTAATTGTACCAAGAAACCCATGGTTAGTGCCTCCGCTTGTGACCTTGCAAGGCAATGGTTGGAATCTTTGCTAACCATTTATAACTGAAATGTTTAAACTAACGTTAGACTTATGACGCGTTTTTAAATAAAATAATTGCACAAGGACAATAATGAGAAAAATATCTTGTATTTTCAAAAAAATTATGTACAATTCAAACTAAAGCTAATCAATAAACAACAAGTATACAACAAAATATACAACAGTAAATCGTCTTAATAGATTATAGGGAAAGACTTTTTTGTTTGGGAATAAAACATTTAATTTATTTGAGAATCTATGGAGTTCTATGGGACATAGCCAGGATCCCCAATTAAACCAGTTGCATCAGCAACGAGGTCAGCACCGAAATAACGACGGCAGACCAAAAAACGCCAATACACGAAAGCTAAATCCGCTGATCGCGAGCCAAGCCCCAATAAATATCAAGCGTATATAGTATATATATATATATATAGTCGCCTTCTTGGGTATCTGCGAACACATCGAGTAGTCCCTGAGCTAAGGGGACGAAAAACTGGCCTAGGGGCTGGACTTCGATCTGCGATTCCTTCTTAATTCTATCTAGATTTGTATATGTTGTAATATGTGTATAATTCTTACAAACATGTATAATGTGGGATAGGCGGGCTTCTAATGTTCAAAAGGCGCGGGCTAGGCGGGAAAATTAATGTTATAAGCCTTCGGATTTGTACAATTTCACTTTGTTTTCGCCTTTTGAATACAGATCAAAGTCTTTTGAGAAACGATGCTCAATGGAGAACGCGTACACAATATATATATGAATATAGCTAATAATATCTATGTAGAAAAAAATGAGCACTCGCACAATTTGAATCTTTGGCAAGACCGCAGATACTGATCACAAGAATCGTTTCGATTTAGTTACTCCGTATTGCTAATGGCTACAACTAATCGCACTCGCTCGTTAAAATTTGGCTAATTGTGGAGCAGAGACTCGGGTACATGTACATTCATAGGAATACGTTACACGTGGCGGACATAATTGAACCTCTGTCGTTAAGTACTCTAAGGTCTAAATTCGCTGCGTTCCCTCTCATTTTCGTTTCAATGTTCGAACGCTCCGTCGTCGGGATAGAGGTTCACCAGGATGGCGTAGTAGTGGCATCCGGCGGCCAGCACCACGAACAGGTGCCAAATGGCGTGGGCCATCGGTATCAGGCCGTCCGCCTTGAAGAACACGATGCCCAGTATGTAGAAGGCGCCGCCGAACTTCAGCTGCAGCATTCCGTGGAAGTGGTGGCCGGTGAACACGACCACCAAAGCCGGACCCAGGCCCATTACCAGGTAGAAGAACGTCTCCAGGCACTTGTAGCGCTCATGAAAAAGCTGGTTTGGACGCAATTAAGGATAAATATATTAATAATTGTTGTGGTACAAAGTCGAGTTGAAGCTAAACACACATTTCACATCAGAAAATCTTCTGAGAAGATCCAATTTATCTCCACTTACAGAATACATGTACACATAGCTGAACAAAACTCACCTGCTGGTAGGTAATCCCGATTCCTGCCATCAGCCAGATGACCCACTCCATGCAGAAGAGTATGGCCGAGTGGTCGGTGTTCTCCAGCGTGAGCCAGGGAAAGTAGGATCCCGCAATGAAGACATAGATCATGGCTCGGTCGCAGCGATGGAGCACGTTCTTTAGGCTCTGGTAGGTCTGCCAACCCAAACTAGGCCAAGCCTTGACATTTTTCGGGGGTCTACGAGAACATAACTTTGAATAGACGCATGACAAACAATTTAGTTGCCTTACTTGTGCTCCGCGCAGTAGCAGGAGCAGTGGAAGAAGGTGGACACCGTGAAGAGCATGCAAAGGGCTCCGCCGTAGACCCAGGAAACCAAATACTGGCTGGCACTCGATGAGCGTTCGAACAGTTTTACGGCCGCAAAAACGGCGGGAAGTATCCAAATCCCGTGGGTAATCACATTGGCCACCTGCTCAATCTGTTTTTGGAGGCGGGGGAAACAGGTGTTGATATTGTAGCTTGGACTGTATATAATAATAATAACCAGACTGCAACTCACCTCCGTTGGCTGGTAGGCACAACCGGGCTTCGCCTTGGCATTCTTCCACTTGACATTACGCAGCTGCAGCTTGAGCTTCGAGTTTGACTTGATTATGGACTTCCAGAACTTGCTAAACAGATTCTCGAGGAAGGCGTATTTGTGCTGCAGGTCCTCCATCAAGCTGAGGCCTCCATCTCCGTTTCCATTTCGATTCAGAGTGTTGTTACCACTTCCGTGGCCACTGCCTGCGCTGGTGCTCATCGTGGACAGACTGCGGATTAGATTCCGAATTGGTTGATTGATTGATTGCCAGCAGACTAGCCGAGCTAACCCATCCACCCACTTTTTCTTTCATGACCCATTGATTGTCTTCGGGTTTTGGGCCTCAAGTGATAAGCACACGACTGCAGTCACTGGACAATGGACAACCCGAAGCCACTTGAGACATACATTGCGGAATTAAGGTAATTTATGCTGATTCGCCTGTAGTTTTGCACACACAACTTGCATTCAATGGCCAAGGTTGCTGCTTTTGACCCGCAATTGAAACCAGTTCCGCTGATTGGCGGGCTGCTTATCTCGCGTGTCTAGAACATGGTTTAAAGTCCAAATCGGCTGAGAATATGTGCCCCTGCGGGAATATGATTATGGGACTCTCAAAATTTGATTGTAATTTCAGTCGAAACGGGTCTCCAGGCGGTTTGCAATTACTCCAAGTTTACTAAGGCATGAATATGGAGAGGTTTGCTAGAACCCTAAAAACATTTGCAATTTAATGAGGCAGAAATATCAACTATGTGCTGGTTAATAACCCATGAAAATCACCTTCTAATAGCGCTCAACTTAATTTTTAAACCAGATTGTATATATTGTATTGTATATTAAGTAGACTAAAACTTTACCGACTTGTCCGTAAAATTTCTCAAGTTTTCAATAAGCGAATGATATTGGGTGGTGGTGGGGGAAGCACCCCAAAAGTATGCCTCATTGGGCGCAGTGGGGGTCACAAGGTGAAACAGCATAACGGTCGCCCCCTTCCAAGTATATCACCATAACGACTATGCTAATCATTATAAAAATAGATACCTCAGGCATTCCTTATATTGACAATTACCAAACAGCAGGTGAGGGACTAGGACACTGGCAGAAAATTCGATTAGTTTCTTTATATATGTTTTAGGGATTTTTGGAATTTTAAATATACAATTCTTCTTGATCACCCTGAAATCGGATTTTGTAATATTATAAAATCTGTTTATAGTAATAAACTATTTTCCTCCAACTTTTTTCCTGCACGTTTTGACCGTGTAAGTACTTTTTCAGTGCACTGAAAGATTGTTTACATCTTCCCGGCGGAATAGAATCAATTGCCGTAATAATCCAATTTGTAACGTTGCCGTCACGCAATTCAGCCTTGTAGCCTGTTCACCTGTATTTCCTATACTTTCTCAATCCCGGAAAGAACCCTAACAAATCGGTTACTTCCGAAATTCTGGAGGGAAACTTACCGTCTTACAGGTTTCGAAAACTCGGATGCGGATGCTGGAGTTGAGGAGCCCTTGGCATGCGGATGCCAATGTGGATATTTGGATCTGGATCCTTTGCAGTCCGGCGGATTCGGAATCCCAATCCCACGCAGGAATCTCAGGAGCCCGAAACGCGGTGCACTGCATCTGGTTTGAGGAAAACAGGAGGGGGTTATTGGACCTGGCGTCCGCTTTTCGCGGATTTCGGGGGACTATTCTAGCGATGGGAGGGACGTCGATGTAACATCGACACTTTGTCGATGTAAGTGAATCGAGTGCTGTGCATTCGATATCCCATCACTAACAATTTTACTATTTTTAAATATCTCAAAACATGAAGCTTGAAATTGCATAGGAAGGTTAATTTTTATTAAAAAAGTAAACCTTCTGTATAAATTCTGAAGATGAAATTAATTTTCATACTTATTTTACAATAAGGCGCTATATCTGTGATTTGGTGTTCTAAGTAGTCTGAATCCGGATCTCTTAGTCATTTCAGTCATATATTTTCTTGTTGTGTAAATACTGAATCTATAAAAACTTTATTTTTTTTAATCTCAACTAGAAGATATGTATAAGCGGTTTGCCGCCAAAAACAATATCTGAACGTTACGTTTCTTGCGGTTTGCTCGTCAGCTTAAGAACCGATAGAACCCGCGGAGCATTGGGACCGCCCGCGCATCGATAACAAATGCGACAATCTGATAATCGGTAATCGGAGAAAACGTGTGAAAAAGGTGCGTGACTTTCTTGTTGTTGAATTTTCCCATATTTGTATAATTTTTACCGAATTTCGCAGCAAAAGGTGAAAAAGGTGCGTGACTTTCTTGTTGTTGAATTTTCCCATATTTGTATAATTTTTACCGAATTTCGCAGCAATAGTAAGCAAAGATGTCTGGACGAGAGGGCGGTAAGAAGAAGCCACTGAAGGCGCCGAAGAAGGACTCTAAGGATTTGGACGATGAGGACTTGGCCTTTAAGCAGAAGCAAAAGGAGCAGCAGAAGGCTCTGGATGCGGCGAAGGCGAATGCCTCCAAGAAGGGACCACTCGTCGGCGGCGGGATCAAAAAGTCGGGCAAGAAGTGATAGTCACTGTTATGCCCACAAGTCAGCACAGTCCCCTTCCGCCAGGAGAACTCAGAGTTGCAGCATTTTCAGCCAAAACACACACCCATTATGATGACCAAAATTGAATGTCAAGCCAGCTGGAAACCACTTCTTTTTATACTTACGATTACCAATTAAATAGAGCATTGTACGTAGGTCAAATGGAGATTTATTGTACGGACTGAGTCAAGTCTTTAAGCTCGCGGAAAACTGGCCTGCGTTCCGGGCAACTGGACAGACTGCGAGGCCACAGCACAGGCGGCGGCTATGTGAGCCTCCAGCTTGTTTTGTGGATACCGGGCAATGTTATGAGCCAGTGCCCCGATGAAGGCATCGCCAGCTCCCGTGGTATCCACCACTTTCTCGGGCGGCACATGCGGTGCTTTTACATGGTGGAACACATCTTTGGAGTCTGACGATCCAAAGACAGCACCCAGTTTACCCAGGGTAATGATCACCGTATTGGCACCCATCTCTATAAGCTGCCCAACGGCGGTTCTTGCTTCCCTGCGAGAAGAAGAGCGCTTTTCTAGGGGATTTCACTTTGTTAATTAATAGGTTAGACTTACTCCACCGTCTCAATGCTGGCCATTTGGGTCATTAGACCCGCCTCGCTTTCGTTCACACAGAAGATGCTGGCCAGCCGGAGCAGTTCCCGTGGTGTGTTCTCCATTGCCGGGGCCGCATTCAAAATGGAAACGCCTCGGAAGGATTTCAGGGCGGTCAGCGTGGCCTCGACGGGCGTCTCCAGCTGGCAAACCAAAACCTTGGCTTCGCGGAATAAAACTTCAGCCAGAGTCACATCGCGGGAGCTCAGCTGGCTGTTGGCTCCCACCACGATGATGATGTTATTTTCCCCTCCATCAGATACTGCTATTTGAGCCACGCCCGTTGTCTGGCCCTCCAGCTGCTGCACGTGCTCCACATTGACCTTCTCCTCAATCAACTGCCTGAGGTAGTCCCCGCCAAAGGTGTCTGCCCCCAATTTGGCCACCAAAGCTGTCCGGGATCCCTGACGAGCGGCAGCCACACATTGATTGGCGCCTTTTCCGCCGTAACCCGTTTGAAATCGGTGCCCATGGAGCGTTTCCCCTGGTTTGGGAAGTCGCGGGGTATAACTACATATAATCAGAGATGAGATCCTCAAGCGCCTTCGAAGTTTGCACTCACTCACCATATAAAATCTATGATGGCCGAGCCAAAGACCAGAACTTCTGGGGCTTGAGTTTCAGCCATGTCACCCGTAATCCGTAATCGTTGCAAATGCAGTAGTTTGTTGTCAAATGAGTAGAGTTTTTCGCTCTTATCGCGCCGAGATTATGTGACCCCCGTGGATGAGGGGCAAGGACAAGGACGGGGGGCAGTGGGCGGATCACTATCAGCTAGCTGGTTCACTCCATTTCTGGCCAAGATCGGGGAGCGGTGCGGATGTCTGTTTTGGATAAATTGGCTAGTTTATAGCCAGAAACGCGGGAGACCTAAAATACTAGAAAATACCATAATTACAAGATGTTATTAAAAACTTTGTTGCCATTAATTACTTAAATATGTTATTTTGAATATTAATAAAGTCTAATCTAAGAATGTGAGCATAGTACGGTAAACCCAAAAAATCAGATTCTTTCAAATTTTGTTTTATTTTTTGTTCAGCTTGAATTGGGCGAAAATTTGGATTAATGGTTCTAAAATTTAAAGTAAAAAATTAAAAGAAATTAATAGCGGCAACAAGTACCAAGTTAAAACTATGATTAAAATCGTGATAATGCGTATATATAGTAGGTCTTTATCATACTAACAAAGAGCAAATTCAAAATTTTATTCGATTCAGTTCAGACATTAAACTTGTGAGCAAGAAAAAAGCTTTTGTACCCTTGTTGTTAGAACTTCTAAGGATCAACATTTCCATGGCAGCTAAATGATATAGAAGTCCGATGTTTATAAAGAAACATTTTAAAAGATCTTTTATCGTAACGAAATGGTGAATGCTGAACAAAATACATTGTAGTTTAACAACATCGAAGCTTTGATAAGGTTTTTGTATAATTTTGTAAATTCCTATGACATTTACACCATTTGTAGCATTCCGATTTTGTTGATATTTTATTTGTAATTCAAGAGTTGTTGAAAAGACTCCTTTAAATTAAATAAGCGTTTTTAACTTAATTTTAACATAACCACAAGACATATGAGACTAATTTCAACAGGCAAACCCTCAAATAGAAAGAGAAGACAACAAGCACGATTTCAGATAAATCATGTTTATTAAATATACATTGTACAATTATATATCGATTCGGCTGGCCTTGGGACAAAAAAAGGGGACCTACTACAATTGTAGCCTATGGGTAATACATGCGATTTGAACTTGGGGGGGACTGGATTTGGATTTGGGATACAACACACAGGCGTTTCGTTCTAGGAGTATAATTAGAATTACAAGCCACTCTACCGATTAACATGTTTTTAAATATAGCGTACAACTAGCTCTTATCGCGGCGTTTCTTCCACACTTTTGCTTTCTGTTCTGGCGGGGATCGCGGGGATCGCCCTTTACCATATATTTTCTGTTCGGGTTTCCTTGTTGATTATCCTGCTTAGACTCTATTATTGCGACTCGTAGCGAATGGATGGACGAGTGAGTTGAGATAACATTGAGTGGACTGCACAGCCAATGTGTTCCTCGATCGAGCCTAAATTCCGGCCCGCTCCAGGGCACTCAGCTGTGTGCCTAGGCGCTCTTCCTTGGCTTTGCGCTCGGCGCTGATCTTCTTGGAGCTTTGGTAGGTGTTGAGGAACGTCTGCACGTCAATCTTTCCGTTCAGAAAGTGCTCCACATGCCGATCACAGTCGGCATCGGCATTAGAAGCAGCAATCTGAAGGAGTTCCTAGAGGGTCAACGTCAATATAAATCATTAACTTGGATTTTAAGTGTTCCTTGATGGGTTTCCCTATTTACCCTTATGTGCTGGGGTGCATATTCCTCAGATTTTTTCAAGTATTTCTTATTCAGCTGGTCGCATTTTTCGCCCAGAGTTTTTAAAGCCGTGTAATCATCGCTGAGGCGTCGCTTAAGCTCCACCAAATGACTGCCCTTGGACTCGTTTTCTCCTGGATTTGGGGGTAGAACTTAATGAATTCTGCTCTGCTTTTCCTTGTCACGCACTCACTTGATATGTTCTCCACTTGGTTCATCATAGAGTCCAGCTCCTCGTTGAGGTGCTGCACCACAGACATTTCTTCGATAAAGTCGTCGAAGAACTCTGGATCTCTGTCTAATTGTTTGAGTTCGTCCAGCGATAAAGTGGACAGATTGGGCATGTTGCCCGCTTCGCCAGCGTCCGCCGTCTCCTTGACATCGTGTCCTTGAAGTCCTTGAGCTTGGGCGTGACCTTGCGGTGAGTGCTGGGTGGTGGGCATTTTTGCTTTCCAGTCCCGGCTTACAAGTTTCAGTAGATGTGCGTTGGATTAACTATAAATTTACATTGTGTCAGTTGGCAAAAGGAGCAAAAAACATTTTCACACCTACTCAGGTTTAAATTTAATGCTGAGGGTCGTCGGCACGAACTGGAGCACCCTGTGACCTCCAGTGGGAGTTGGCGACCCCGGCTGCGCAAAAAACGGTTTGCGAATTATGAAAATTATGAAACTCCCGAAGGTACCGCCCCCTGTCTGGCCATTACTCACCCAATTTCCTTCTGCTGGTTTCCTAATCTTTCCAGAATTTGCCTTCGGATCGGGAGCGTTGGCTTTGTTTGCCCCGATCGGCGTTTCATTATCCTCTGTTCTGACGGTTCTACCCAGTGTTGCGGGGTTGGCTATTTTTTTTTTTTTAGCCAGATGTGGCTTTTTCTTATATTGAATCTCTTTAAAGTTTATATGTTCTTTAACTTATTTCCTGAACCCGATTAAATTTAAACTTATTTTTCTAGAAATTAGTATTAAGTCAATTAAGTTGAATCATGACACACATTTATGACTAAATGTATGTCTTTAGTGCACAACAGGCATTCCAGAAGTTTTTTGTTTAATCACAGCTTAATCACAGAAATAGGTTATTGCTACAAATGGTTCCTTTTTCAAAAACTATATATGTGTTTTAACTTAATTTAACAAATTGTTAACAATTTCTAGAATCAGAACTAGCCAGGTTTTGGGAACTATCTTTACCAACACTGTTTACAGTGGTATTTTCAGGGCTGCAACCCTAATACTTTCATTAGGCTTAAAAAAAGATACCAATTTAACAATAGTAAAAACAGTTTATAACCAAAAAGGGAACATATCTTAAAAGCCATTTTATGACTGTTTAAAGTGCGCACAGAACTTCTTCAACTTCAACTGTTGGGTTAAGGTTGCAGTATTTATTTCACGTGCAAGTCTGGCAACCCCGGAAATCAGCTGTATTTTTGTTTACGATTTACCTCGTTTTTACATAACAAAATTTGAGATCTCAACCAATATTGACTGCTTACTGGACAAATGGCGCTATTTGAGCTAAAATGGCTACGTCGGTGGGTTCGACGCAACACGAATCCTATTCCGGAACATCGGGCGGAGATGTGGAAAAGGCGTTTGAGCATCGGGTACGCCATTCTGGCCTGGCAAGCTTTCGGTCTTGTTTGCTACATGGTCTACACGGGAAGGAACGATTGGGCCAAGTACTACGGCTACAAAACAGAGGAGGAACTGGCTCTTTCTCCGGCGCAGCAGTTCGCCAAACATCTGAAGGTTGAGGGAACCGGTAAAATCATCCGATTCTCGGGTTTCCACAAAGTGGAGGAGGTCCCCTTTGACGCCAGCGAGGTGGAACGGGTCAAGGAGTAACTGGTGGGGCAGTCCTGACTAGTTTTATTGTAACATCCTTTTTTTACTAAGCGTAAGCGTCTGTTAATTGCCATTAAAGCGTATCAATAGGACTTTCTAATGATCCGTTTTTATTTGGTTGCAGGTGGAACTGGGATTTACTGCTATGCTTTCGTATACCTAGTTTTCAAATCCTTGCAAAATAATAAAAATGTGTTTTTTTTTTTTAAATAAATTTGGTTTAATTCTGTTGTGCCGGATTTTAGGTATATACCAACTGCGTAATTCAGTATTTTCCTATCTTCCCCGCTGCGGCATGTCTTGGCGCTCTAGCAACGGTCACACCAAGTGCAGCGAATGAAAAAAAAAAACAACAAAAAACCAGCGACGCGTTGCCCGCGGACGAGCGGATTGGCGATAACAACAATAACAGAACGTAGCATATTGAATTGCGGTACTAACGGTGGTCGCGCTGTAGCCCCATAATTCTCCTGGCAGTCATATTTCCTCGAGCTGCAATTCCAATCGGAGATTCAGTGACTTCTATAAATAAAACAACAACTCGAAGCGCTGAGCAGCGCAGTTGCAGCCAATAAGCAGCATCCAGTGCAAAGTCGTATTTTTATTAATTGTAACAGAAAAACAACAAGAACAAAAAGAAACTAAATGAATATTAATTGCCCATCAAGTGGAGGTCATTGGCGTTCTCGCTCTCTCCCTGCCTGCTTTCGTATAGTGCCGCTTGCCTCTCTCTTCTAACTGCACTCGCTGTCTGCAAAATAACGGGACTAACGGCAAGCCAGAAGCAACACCGAAAACAACAACAACAATTGGCATTTGCAGATGGCGGCTGCTTCGTCTAATTGGAATTTGTACAAAAACAAAAACCGAAGAAAAATCATAGCGAAACAAAAAGAGCCGCAAATAATTGCTAATTAGTTGCATTTTTTCCATTGTTGCAAGGCTTCGCTTACGAATTTCTAATGTAATTAACGCGGCAGCTGTTTTTTTTTAATGTGTGCTAGTGTGTGTGTGGCCTAAGTTTATGATCTTTTTTGTTTCTATTTTTTGTGTGTGCAACAGCAACTAAAAGTCAAAGGTGCAAGTGCTTCACAACACAAACATACATAAACAGTGGAGACGGCAACCGAATAACTCAACAACAAAATCAGCAAAAAAGGACAAAGGAGATAAATAGTCTAGGCGAAGAACCGTTTGATTGATTGCCGTGCCTCCTTCTTTCCTCTTTCTACTTTCATTCTCCTCGGCGCTTCTTCTTTATATTCCCCGTGGGACGAAGGGTAAGTAGCGAGTACAAAAACTATTTAAACCAGATCCCATTATTGTTGCTGCTTTTCGAAAACCATTAAAAGCGCATTAATTATATAATTTCGGAGAAGTGAAACTTCCACTTTCTGCGCTTCTAAGCCAGCAACAATAACATTAACAGTCCAGCAAAACGTAAACCATCAACAAAGAAACTTTAAACTTCAAAGGCACGCATAAATATTTATCAACAACAATAAAAAGAGTTTTTTTTTAGAAACGCTAGCGAAAATGAAACCGTTTTCTAAAAATAATTTATTGTCGCCGGAGTTTCTATTTCTACAAAAAAAAAAACCTATACAAAACAGCCCAACAAATAACATATATAACATATAACATCTGGTAAGCAGAGCGAACAAAGGCCAATAAACACAAACATAAACATATCAAAGAATTATCAAAAGAGAGTAGCGCATAATTCGAGCGGTAAAAACGTTTACCAGTTCGCAGCGACTGCTTAGTTCGCTACAGCAGCAAATTTGGGTTTACTTTTTTTATATATAACCCTACATCTGAAAAATAACTTTATTAATTTGAAGATCTCAAAATGTCATACGTCTATGATTCGGTGGTTTAAATATTTATAAAATAGCATAAAGAATATTTGCCCTAGACAATTTTTTTAACCGGTTTATCTCCGTTCACCCAAACTACCGACTGTTTATATTATAGCGCACATTTCTTTGGCGCGCTAAAGCGTAACAATCATAAAGAAACGAAAATTTACAGAGCAACTGCCTCTTTCGCCTTTCCCGTCAAGTGAATGGCCCCTCATTGACCCCCCGCCCCCCACCAACTTCTGGTTATAATATTTTTTTTAGGTTTTTTGGAATATGTCAGGAGCGAATGAATGGCCAAGTTTTTAAGTTTTAACTGACTGCCCAGTGGTTTTCTCAGGTGGCCAGCGAAATGCGATCCGAAAGGGGGCTTTTCGGGGGGCGGGGGCCCTCTGTGGTTATCAGCTGCTGTTTTCAGGAGCGTACTGTAGACGGCAGAGGGTTAATGGGGGGCGTTAACGATAAGCACTGTTTTGGCCTGGCTTTTTGGTCATAGACCTCAAACGTACCTAGCTTTCAAACAATAAAAATTATAAAAGAAAAACGTAGTGAAGAAAAAGTGACAGGGGTGGGAGCTACAGACCGAGAGAAACGTGGAAATGGCAAAAATGCAGAAAACCGCAAATGTGCCCCAACGAACGGGCGACGCGCTTTGTTGCCTCTTGCGGTTTCTTTGGTTGCTTTTTCTGCGTCTGATAAGCCCCATGCTTAAAAGAAGTGGCAGGCAAAGAAAAGCCCCAGAAGAATGGCTAGAAGAATAAGCCAACTAGTCAGCACTGGGAAAAACAAAACGATCGTTGTCTAATAATGAATATAGATTGAAAGGTAGCTTAAATTTCCATTTATATCGCAACGTTATGTATAGCATAAAAACAAGAACTAAAATAGTTGTGGATTTCCTGAATCGATCTTTAAAAGATTTCTTATCAAATGAAAAGCTAGGAATTTCGTTCAATGCACGCACACGCACCGCTGAAAGATATTAATAAGGTAGCATGGAATGCGGGGCCGACTAAATTGAATTGTCATTCAACGCCATGGGAGCTCGACTTTGGTCAAATATCTAGATTTTTCTCCCAACTCTTTTTAAACATCTTAGTGATGGGTTCGAGGGGTTAGGGATGCCAAAAAGGCCAGCCAGATCTTCTAAATGAGTAATGCAGAGAGTGATCTTTTTATCTGAACTTTAAAAGCAAACATTACTATAAACTGCAATTAGAAAGCTAAAAGCTAAAACATCCCCCTGCAAATTAATAAAAGTTAACTTATTATATTTTTCAACTTATCCATTGTTGTTGTTTTTATTAAACTAGAGCTTTTAATTTAGCTACAATTGTATATGAGCAATGCATTCCGAATGCGCCTAGTGAATTCAAAATCTTTAAATCTTGGCGCGCACTTAGTGTTAAACAACGCGTCACGCATGCGCCGTGGTCGCAAGCGCCCTCTAGTGTTGGAGTGTTATCGAATGGAGGGTTATCGATATGCGCCGTCCTACTGGACACTTGTTGTTGTTGTTTGCAGAAAACCAGCAGAAAACTGAAAAACGCGCGTCGCTTTATTGCCAGTTCTTCGTTTATTTTGTGTCGTGCGTTGTTGTTCCCCTCGTTCGGCGCAGAGTTCTAATTCTAAAATTTTTTTTTACTGTTTTCCCCCGAATTTTGGGTAACATTAAAGGTTTTATTCAAGAAACAATCAACAATAAAAAAAACTCGGCTCGGTACTTGCGTGTGTGTGTGTGCAGCAAGTTAGTGTGCGTGCGGAGTTGGCTTTTTGTTTTGCTGGCGCATTCCGGTTTTTTGATGAACGAGAGTGCGAAAACTTAAAGAAACCCCTTTTACAGTTATCTGGTGCAAATAATTAACGAATGTTGTTATTTGATTCGCCCCGTAGTCCCTCTTCTTTTTCAGCCGCTACACCTTGATTTTCATTCAATTACGGTGCTCATTCTGGCAACTCCATTGTTGTTGGTGCAGATTGATCTCACCTCTCCTCTCACTCTCTCTCCCACACATCCTGTTTCGCCCTCGTTCTTGCTCTCTGCTGCAGTTGCAGTGTTGCACAGGTCCGAAATCAGGGCGCGCTCTTAAATTGTTAAAAAAGGTTGACACTCGAACGCTTAACGGTCCTCTTGTTTTCCTTCCGTTTCTGACCAATTATTCAACTTATCGCTGTGCAAACGAGATAAAGATAAACCCCCATGCCAGCTGATAAAGCGGAACACCGTGTTCATCAGCAATTAGGCAAACAGTGTCCCTCGGAATATATGAATTTAATTTGTGTTTCGCTCGTTAGCATGATGTCACTCTACTGTTTGCGTTTCAATTTAAGGCCCAAAGTAACATAAACAAATTTGCGTGTTTCGTGTGGGCCGTTGTCATAAAAAAAGACCAGTGAAAAGACGAAATCAAAACCATTCGAGGCCATAAATGGCAAATACGCGAAATCAGAAAGGCGCCCGCTTGAAAACTGGACTGTTAACCAACCCTGTTAAATTCGGCGTGTTGCAAGTGCAGCTCCACCTCGGCCTCAGTCGACGTCTCGGCTGCGGTCAGCTGACAATGTCATTCGTTGGTGCATTTAATTCTCCTGCTCCGTCGCTCTCATTGTGACGCGTCGTGACATGAGTAATCCGGCATAATTGTGACAATGGCAAAGAACACATGAACAAACACGCACGTTTGGTAGTGGAAAGGGGTGAAGTGAGGCGGTAGGAAGGAAAGCGAAGGGCGGAGATCTCAAGTCCTCTCTTTCTCTTGGGGCCAAACACAATTAACTGTTTGCACACGTACAGCAGAGGTCAAGGATATATGGCACACGAATGTAATTGCTGAAGAATATGGCAAAATATAAAATCCGGATTGCACTCTTCGTTTTGTCCAAAATTTTTTTATTATCACATAATATGTTGCAAGTTATTACAGTTATTTGACCTCGGCTGTCCAGCGATGTACGTATGATTGGAAGTGTTTGCAAGTATTGACGTTGCATTTGAACACTGGGAATTATGGCAATAAGTCCGTCAATCTGCCATTCCGGCATTTTATCAGAGTTAAGAATCATGCTTCAGAATTTTAATTCCGATTTCATGATCGTCGGGTGCATTTTAATTATTTAATAATTGGATGTGATTGCGGCCGTGATTGTGTGTTTGTTTTGATTTCGGTTGGCTCTCTCTCGCGCTCTCTCTCTCTCTCTCTCCGTTATCGTTTTTTGTTTTATGAACTCTCTTCTGGTGACAACAACAATGCAATGCGATTGTTTGACGCCGCACAAACGGGTTATATTGTTGAAGTTGCATGCAACATAAGCATCTGTTGCTGAATCCAATTTTTCGAACCCGCTTTCCTTCACTTACTTATTCGTCGCCCGTCTGGCATTACAAATTCTGAACTCTAATTTTGCACAGAAATTTCACTTTTTACCCCGTTTCATCAAATCGAAAGAAAGCAGAGCAAATTGTCTTGATAAAAAGCATTGTGATAACAAGCATGTACAAAATAACTAGAAATAGGCGATAACAAACGATAAACGAACACTGGGAGAAAAAAACGAAGTCTATATACACCACAAAAATAACAAATTTAATAAATGGATCATTTAGTTAATAACTCAAACCGTAAAAACGAAAAATAAATCGAACCACGAACACTAAAAAAACAAAACAGTTGTTTTGAAATAATTAAAAACGAAAAAACTTGCATGGCAAAAAATAACCGAGATTGACATCGCTACAAAAATGATGTATATTACGTACCATGCTTAATACAAAATAAGTGCACACTAAAACAACGAAATCAAAGAAATATTAAAGTTGGCCCGTTGATGGTTTACGTTTCGCAACAAGCAAGGATATTCCGGCAAGATGATCAAACTGAAATCCTTGTTCCGCAGAGGACAGGGCACCTCCAGCTCGAATTCTTCCAATTCGTCGCACAAGCAGCAGCAGCAGTCCTCCAACAACAACCGCCAAAAGTCCCAGTCGAGCACTTCATTAAATACCGCCCACGAGCAGCAGCAACAACAGCAACAGCAGCAGCAACCGCAAAAACAGCAACACAACAATACAGCAGCAGCAACAACAAAATTTTACGCCCACGAAGAGGCGGCCAGCTACGAAAGGGGCGTGGATGTGGGCGACGAGGAGGCGCTGCTGCTAACCAACCAGCAGCAACAGAGGCGACAACAGCAGCAGCAGCAGCAGCAACAGAGCAATACATTGCCGCAAAAGAAATCCAAGCTAAAGGGACAAAAGCAGCCAAAGCAATTGCCAGTGCAGCAGCAACACAGCAATGCACCTGATCCACAGCCGCAGCAACAGCAGCAGCAGCAACCACTGATGACTTCCTTGGCAGCCGTGCCGCAGGCAGCAGCAACTGGCAACAGCAGCAGCAGCAACATCAACAACAATAACGCATTGGCCGCGCTGCAAGATGGTGGCGCTGCTGCCGCCGCTGCAGCAGATTTCTATCAGCAACTAGCAGCAGCAGCGACAGCAACATCGGCAAACGGCAGCAACACCAGCGCAGATAGTCCGGCCAACGCTTTTCCCGCAGCAGCAGCAGCCGTTGCTGTTGCCGCTGTGGCAGCCAGCAGCTATCAGCAACAACAACAGCAACAACAGCAGCTCATCAACAACGAACAGCAGCAACAGCAACTCTTAGAGGTGAGCTTTACCCCTATTTATTTGTCCGTTTCACAATTAATAACTAAAACTTTACACCCATGCAGGCTAACAACAAAATGCAGGAGCTGCACAAGCAGCTAGAGAGATTGGGAAGCGAGCAACTGCAGCTGGAGACACGCATCACGGAGCTGTTGCCATACCAAAGCGAGGTGGCCAAGCTGAAGGGCGATCTGGTTAAGATGCAGGTGCGCAATGTGAGCCGGGGGAGGATTGAGGATGAGGATGGGTTCGCCTGGCCTGACAAACAGAAAAGGGGCGGAAACGGGGTGGCTGGCTGGCTAACCACAAATTGTTGATGTGTTGTCACGGCTGATTGATGTTGTTTTTGCTGCTGCTTGCCCGATGATAAAGTCATTATATACCCTTGCGTCGAGGGGGTGAACTATATCTGTAATTTTGAAAAGTATTAGTCAACCAATTTAAATGTTAGTAAGCGAGAATTTAAGTATGAAAACTCTAGCTAAATGTTAAAAATAATTGTCTAGATGATTCGGTAGTATAGGGTAATAATATCAGACTAGTGGTTTTAATGAATCTGTCCCCGGTTAAAAGAGCCGATAAAGTGTATTTTCCATGGAGACCCTGTCAAGAACCAACGACTAAGACGTGTTCTCGGGGGCGTTGCGCTTCGCTACCCTAACCAATCCATTGATATTCAATACGATCTATAGGCGATGCGCTCCTTTAATTGAGTCTAGTAGAAAACTTTTGCGACGCAAAACAACAGCAGCAGCAACATCAACGCAGCAGTAGCCCAGAGGAAAGCAAAAACTGATCAGTCTGATGTGTGTGCTTTCAGAGTCTACAGGAAAAGACCCAGATGGAGATCGGCAACCTGAAATACGAGAATGAATCTCTGCGCAATCGGCTGCGGGATGTTGTGAACTCGCCGCTGTCTGATGCGGAGAAGCACCAGATCATACAAGACTCGCAGCGGCTGCACAGCTCGGCGCCCGCCTCGATAGCCCTGCCCAGTGTGAGTATCCCCTGGCGATTTCTATCAAGGCAAATCCACCCAACAACAATATTTATTTGCATTTCCCGCCAGACAAACGATGCGCATGATGGCACACCCTGCCTCACGCCCGACTGGGATAAACAGTCCTCCTCCAGCGAGATATCTGTAGCCTGTCTACAGGACAAGATCATTCAGATGGAGGAGACGCACTATTCCACTAACGAGGAACTTCAGGCCACGCTGCAGGAGTTGGCCGACCTGCAAACGCAGCTGATGGACACGCAGACGGAGAACGAGCGTCTCGCCGAGGAGAAAGATGTGCTCTTCCAGTCGCTTTGTCGGCAGACCGAAAAGCTGAATGAATCGCGCACGCAGATCAGCACGCTGCAGGAACTGCTTCTGCGGGACACCAAACAAGCGGCATCTGAAGTCAGTGCTTCGGAGCGTGAGCAGAAGCTGCTCGATTTGATCAAGACATCGCAGGAGGAACGCGAGGCTGTTCTGCTCAAGCAGGAGGAGCTAAATGCCGAGCTGGCGGAGCTGAAGCAGGCTCGCGAAGCTGCCCAGCAGGAGCAGCAGCGCCAGCGGGAGCGGATTGCCCTGCTAGATTCCCAATTGGATGCAGCCAATGCGGAGCGGCGGCAAGGAGAGGCTCAGTTCTCGCAGGCCAAGGAGGAGATCTCGCAGCGGGCCATCGAAATCAGTCGGTTGAGCACCCTGCTGGAGAACGCCCGCTCTAAGATCGAAGAGTTGGAAGCCGATTTGGCCCGAGGTGACAAGACGGACCTAAGCGATGTGCTGGACGTGGCCAGGAAGGAGAAGGACGCCCTGGAAGAACGTGTGGCCGAGTTGCAGGATCAGTGCTCGCGCAGCCAGGCCGAGCTGAGAAGACTGCGCGAGCAACTCTCCGGTTTAACCGAGGAATGCAAGGTGGCCAAGAACAATGCCAAGTGTGCGGTCTCCCACCTCGAATATCGATTGGAGCAACTGCAACGGGACAAGGACAAGATAGCCGGCGAATGGCAGGCGCTCGAGGAACGCGTGGCCGAGTTGCAGGTGCAGTGTAAGTGCCACCAGGAGGACAAGGCCCAGCTGCAGTCCTTGCTAAGCGAAACTCAGCGCCACCTGGGCGATGTTCAACTACAGCTGGGCGAGACGGAGTGCCGGCTCGACCAGGAGACACAGCTGCGGCGCAAGGAGGCCGAGGAGTGGCAACAGTTCCAGGCCGATCTGCTTATGACGGTGCGAGTGGCCAACGACTTCAAGACTGAGGCGCTCAGCGCCCGGGAGCAGCTCGTGCTCGACAACAAGACGCAGAAGGAAAAGATCAGACTGCTGGAGCAGCAGCTCGAGAAGCTCACCAAGCAGCGTAAGTGTGCCAATTAAATTCCCTTCTACGCATGTAGCAACTTAAACTCTATCTCAATCCCCGAACAGAACTGCAGCAGACGGCGGAGACTCCACAGTCGGTGCTGTCCACAGTACAGCGTGAGATGGAAATGGCCACGCGGCGCAGCAAGCTGAGCTTCAGCCGCCAGGACTCGCGACTTTCTGTTAAAACGCTGATCGAGAGCATCGAGAACAACAAGGCGGTAAGATCTTCCTCTTATTCCGCAAAAAAAAAACACTTTCACAAATCCCAATTTATATCTTTGATTTTACAGCAGGGTAAAGCAGACGAAGCGGAATCCCATTACAGTTCGACGTCCAGTCTAAATAGCGGCACTCCGGAGCTGGGAACCACGCCGATTATCTTTCCCCCCTCCAGTGATTGGCATGAAAGCGTGAGTTGCTTGTACTGCAATAAAACCGAATAGCTTTACTCATATTTTCTAACCCCGTACAGCTTCGCTTACCAGTGCTGCAGAGCAGCAATCTGCATGTGAACGTGGGCAATCAGGCGGGCGTCGGAACAGGAGCAGCTATTTCAACTGGCAACGGAGGAGGAGGAGGAGGCTCAGCTAGCACAACCAAAGCCACATTGCCACTGCGTGATCAACAGCAGCAGCAGCCGCAGATTTCTGCAGCAACAACGCCCCAAAGTCAAATTCAGATGCAGAACGTTTCCCAGCCCTCGACGCCGGCCACGCCCAGCAGTGCGGGCAGCAGCAGCAGCAGCGGCCTGCCCTTCGGCAATGTCTCAAAGTCCTTCATTAGCGGTATGAATCGATTGTTTGGCTAGTCTGATGACTCAGTGTCCAAATTAATTTCTAAAGATTTAAGCGTTTAACCAGTTCTCGAGTTTTTACTAATTTGAATTTTCCGTGTTCTCCAGGCGAACGAAAGGACCCGCTAAACATGCTGGCCAAGAACGGCGGCTCAAAGCGCAACGCGCTGCTAAAGTGGTGCCAGAACAAGACAGTGGGCTATCGCAACATCGACATTACCAACTTCAGCTCGTCGTGGAACGATGGCTTGGCGTTCTGTGCCATTCTGCACTCATATCTCCCGGACCGCATTCCCTACGATCAACTGAGTCCGGCCAACAAGCGGCGCAACTTTTCGCTGGCGTTCGCGGCTGCCGAGTCCGTCGGAATTGGCACCACCCTGGTGAGTTTTTCCGTTTAGCTTGGCCCACGTGCTGCGAATATGTTTTTTTTTTATCCGAACAAATCTATTTGCTACCAGAACATCAATGACATGTGTCAGATCGAACGACCCGACTGGATGCAGGTGATGTCCTACGTGACGGCTATCTACAAGTACTTTGAGACCTAGAGGAGGGAACTCTTGACGACTACGACTGTCCGCTGCCCTCCACTCTGGGCTCTCTTCTGTAGTGGTAGTAGAGTAGGGTTCGCTTTACTTTCAATATACATCTCTTAGCTTTTTTTGTTCTTGATACATACATACCTTCTTCTTTTTTTTTTTTTTTGTTGTTGTGTATATTCAGCATTTCCAGCCTGGACAGCAAGCAAATCTTTAATCAATCAAGTATTCTGTTTTAGTGTGTCTACGTCCAAATCCTTGCCCATGTACAGTGGTCACTCGGTGCAGTGGCACATATTTAGGTATCGCATCTGTAAAATGCATTTGTTTGTTTTTCCGGTTTTACAGACGACCACCCATTTAGCACTAAGTTTAAGCTTAACGATTAATTTTAATGGAGTTTGGAAGGTTGTTCGGGTCCATCACTCCAGCGTCAACGAACGATGACTCCTACAGCCAGTGTCCACTGTACAGGGGCAAGGTAGCTCATTTTTTTATTGCTTGGTACAGAGTTTATTTTTACATGCAAATCGACGATGGAGGACACTTAGCTTGACGATGAGCATAACTATAGAGATAATAAGGAGATGGTCCGAACTATTATAGCTTTAGCGTATATATTTAATATTTATTCCAACTACATCAGATCACTAATTTAAACGCAAACAAAATGTATTTTTTTCAACGATTCATTCTACGATCTACCATAAAGAACAAAATGCTGCAAGAAATGGCAGTGAACAAGTAATCCATGTTTGTTTTTTTTTTTTGTGGTTCGTTTTAATGCCCTGATTAAACTGGGTATTAGCTGTGGGGGGGTAGTAAATTAAAAATTCTTGGAAAATTTTACATCCTTTGAAATTTGCATTTTTCGTAATAAAAATTTTCTGAGTCGCGTCGCTTATTAAAACAGATCAATCTTGCCAGCCGCAAAAAGCGTGGAACTTGAGCCCTCGGCAAATGGGCGGGAGTGATGATGATGATGAGCGTGGTGGGTGAGGCGACCCCTCGGAAAACTCTCAAAATGGCGCTCCTTGAGCGCAGAAATTTCCCTCGAGTGGGGGGGGAAATTTCCCAAGGAGCAGGAAAGAGATGGCATCTCTGCGTTGTTGTTGGTTTCTTCGTTTTGTGGGCGGGATTCCGGACGTGGTTGGTCGAGATTTCGGTGGATGGTGTGGGCGTATGGGTTGGGTGGGTGTGGCATGTGCCAGAGGTTTTAATTAAGTGCCCGTGCCACACCGCAGGGGTTGTGCGATTTCTTTAAAATTAAAACAGTACGATGATTGATGTACTCGACGCTAACGAGAAGAGGCAACCAAAGCTGACGAAGGATATCAAGGAAAGTCCTTTGGCCATGGAACGCACTGCATGCTAACGTTAAAAAGCAATGTTTTCATAAGTTCAATTTATTTAAAAACTTCCAACGGCTAATACGACTTAAGTTCATAGTATTGCAAACAAGTTTTATGAACTTATTTAATATTGTGTTTATTAAGATCAAAATTGTGAATGCTAAATAAACCTAAAATTACTTTTGAAACGTTTTATAATATAATATTTCTATATATACATATATACTTTAATCGTGTGTTTAACAGCTTTGTTGTTAATAAACATATGTATATTTAGTATGAGGTTCTGATTTTTTCACATACTTTTGGGAGTAAAGAAAAAGTTAGACCAAGATATTTTTATTAATAACAAAACTGTGGGCTCAGGAGTAATAAAATGCTTTGGGCTAAATTTTTTCTATCTGATCTCATACTCCTTAAAAATAATTCTATTTAATTTTGTATCGTTGACAGAATTAACTCCTTCAGCAGTCCCATCAAATACATGTCCTTATCCGCCTTCGTGTCCGTTTATTTTGTCCGGTTGTTTAGGCCGAAGTCACGTAGCTCCGAAAACCTTTAGGTTGCTGTACTAAAGCACCCATCCTACCCCTTGGTTCGACTCGCAGATCCGGGACAAAAGCAAATTGTATCTGTCAATTAGGCGGCTCCTTGTGGTATCGCTCTCTTCTTTAGTCCTTAATGCCCGGCACATGTCGAAAATGAAATTAAACGCTGACGCATCTTTTGCTGACCAGCGGACAGAAACAAAAATATATATTTTGTAGTTGGTAGTTGGTGGGGGAGGAGGGAGTTGGGTGGCCTGGAGAAATAAAGGGAAATGCTTAGTCATAAATCACGAAATCGGCAAGAGTGAATTTCAGTGCGGACAACATTTTAATATACAAAATAGACTGGTGGCCAAGCCAAAAGGACACGAACGCACGGACACAGATTTATTCACTCACTCAATCGGTGGCAATCGGTGCAACTATAAAAATATTATCTATAGTTTCCACTTAAATGCACAGCGGCACTTACCGGACGGCGCTCGTCCTTGTCCAACCCACCAAACACACCCCACCCCCCACCCCCTCCACATGTGGATAAATCATAATGGCTCATGTGCACTCATAAATAGATAAGCCAGGCGGTATAGTACACTGTAGCAAATAAATGGTTTTGCAGACGCGATGTAAAAACATATCGGAGGTCTTTACAAACTCGGTAGTTTTTGATATAACTTTAAAATTAATGCTATATTTATAACTGTTATGGGTATTTCGTTTAGAAAATAAATAGAAGCTTGTTTTCAAATTGTATAATTATTTATAATATTTCCTATGAATTTCCGATGAATTTCTAAATTTGCATGTGACTTTTGTGGCTTTGCTTAATAAAATATAATTATATATTTATTTATTTATGCTCGGGTTACCTCTAACCCATACTTAAGCTGGTGCAACTAGGCCTTAAGCTATACATGTTAATTAACAAAATATATACCGCCTTAAATAATTTCTAAAACCACAAATTATTCTCTCTGTGCAGGTACATATGCTTCAGCCGAAGGAAGAGCAAGACTTGCTGGCGAATGTGGATGTCAATATGAGTGGTGGGTGAGTGGTTGGGGACGGGGTCCATACATATACTATATCTATATAGATAGCGGGGGGTGGACATTGCTCATTCGGGTCAGGTCATGTCAACTCAGGCGGCGGGAAATCGTTTTGTGTGCGTGTCATTTATGGGTCATTTGCCAGGGAGCCGTGGAAAACCTATACAACAAGTGAGCCAGTTCATTCATATCATATATTCATACAGATTGATTTGAGAAAATATGAAATTTGTTGTAAGGTTTATAACTCAGCAAAGATGGAAATCATTTTGAACCCCTCCATCTGAACATTTCGAACTTTAACTTTGTGTCACATTCGATATTTCGTTTGCTCTACATTCTCTGAGAAAAAAAAAAAACAGACCACACAGATACACTCGCCCACTCTTGGGGGAAAAGTTGACTTCCTGTCATAGTTGGATGTTCATGTTCATTTGGATCCTAACTTTGGCTTCTTAGCATTTCTCCGCTTCTGCTGGCACTTCCGATGCCAGCAGGCAAATCCTGTTTACTGCCTGTCAACTTATAAACAATTTTCCATAATAATGACGCCGGCGATCGGAGCAACTTTTGCGGCGGAAGCGAAGACTTTTCAGAAAACGAACGAAGGGAAAAACGAGAGGAAGGATTATAATAGGGTAATGGAAAATCGAAGAGCGGGACAGGGATTAAACGCACTGGGCAACATTTCCGGTTTCGAGAAGATTGTCCAACTCCAACTCCATGACGAGGCCGCTTCGATTTGATTTCCTCCCCGGCAACAAAGAGCTTTATGATTTTCCGGTCAATACAATTTCAGCGGCCGAACTGCATCCTTACAAATCAACAAGCATGACACATTGCCGCCCAACCATTGTGCTTTGTTCGCCGGCTCGGGGCTCTTTGCTCTTCGCTCGAGGAAGTACTAAAAAACACAATAGACCATGGCAGGGGCTCTACCAGCTACAACTCGGCTGCTCGGCTGCTTGGCTGTTTGGAAGATCGACTGCAATGACAGTCACAATGGACCCATGGAGTGCCCATCCATCCGTCCGAAAGAGACGACTTCTGCAGTCGATGGGTCATCGAGGCTGAGGGTCAATAAATTGTGCCGAGACAATCGCAATTCACTTTTTTACGTTCTCGAAGTCAGTTGCTGGTGGATAAACTCGGCTGGGGTTAATGAATGTTTTTGAGAGATACAAATACTTATGATTGCAATTCATGTTCGATAAAGATCTGATTGTTTTTAAACAAATATTTGAATTAATAGTTCCCAGTGTAAGTTCCCTTTGAAACTGTAATTCCATTTGCCTGCAAATGACTGGCACGACCTTCCTGCTAAGCGATCCCCATTACGATCCCATAAAAATTCAATAAAGAATCCCGCAGTTCACATGCACATCCTTCCCAAACGGGGAGTAACAAGGCCCATGAATCTCGTCCCTCGCGGCGGATTCGGAGTCCCCACGTCGCCGGCTAATACGCATCAGGGCTAAACGCTCTGGCCGAGCCAATAAATGTGTTTGTTCACCACCCACTTCTTGTTCCATCCCAAGGAACTCCCACCGATCTGGTGCGTCGTCCACCCCCTGACTTCTTGCCCTTTGCCCTTTGTCCTTTGGCCACAATTGCCTGGCTCACTTTGATTTGCACGCATGAACTACGTTTTCCCTGCAGAGAAAAAAATACTTTACTACCAGTGCTAGTTTGGGAAAGTATTAAATGTTTATCTTAGCTTATACCTCTGGTTAAATATTCTTGAAAACTCTAGCTGCTTGAATGGAATTATCTTTGCATATTTAAAAAGAGCAATTATTATTATAAATTGGGTTCTTGAGTTAATCAAAACCTTGTGGTTTGTAGGAAAATCGTTTCTAAATGCTTTCGAACAGGAAAAATAAATATTTTCCTCAGTGCGACCTCTTCTCTTTCGAATTCATTGCCTCCTGCGCAGAACGGCGTGTCAATGTTTATTTAGCACCCCTCCTCGCCATCCTGCTAACCAGATTTCAATTTGTGCCGAGCAAAGTGTTTATGAGATTTCGAGCTGCCGCTGCTAAATGGCCGAAATCCTTGTGTCCTGGGACTGGGAAATGCGTGTGCGCCTCGACACCCCCGCAGGACTCGAAGGACTCGCCGGATTCGTCGGGGATCTGCGTGTGCGTCCGATATACTTACTATATACACACCATATAGTATACTCGCTTTTATTCTTCCCTTTGTTTGGCTTTGCTTTGTCCTGTTTGGTTTGCTTTGATGTAATGTGACATGATGGTTTCATCAAAAGCGCATTAAAAACAAAACACAACCGGAGCGAAACAAACAAAAGGAGGTGAAATCGGGCAGGGAATTCCGTTATGGACAGAGTCCTGCATCGTAAACTGCTCCTTTTTGTAGCTCAGAGATTAGCCAGCTCGAACTGTCGTTGGTTTTTAGTTTCCCCTTGTGAGATACTTACAAATTTTTTTGTTTTCTTAGGTGCGTCTTCATTTGTGGGGAAGGGTCACCTAACCCAGAACTTTAACCCAGAAAATTCTTGTACAAATAAATAACAATTTGCATAGCCAACTTTCAGAACATTGATCAAATTATATTATCCAATTCGTTTGGATTTGTTAAGTTCACAAGGGTTAGCCAGCCGCCCAGGATCTCACGGGCCAATGCAGTTCCGGCCGAGTCCTGCAAAGGAACGTGAACAACTATGGTACAACATAATCGGAGGCAGCCAAAAGGATTCAGGCCATTAAGTTCCGGAAGTGAGTTGATAACCAGACAACAAGCTATACAAAACCAGCCGACGACCACTGACACAGGACTCCGTGTCATTTGGGAGCTGTCCCGGGTGAGGATATTTATGCCTGTTTGGGTGTTCGGGTTTGGTTTGTTCACTGCTGTAATTGGCTGGCGGGTCCGAGGAACAATTCTTGTGCATATGCAAACCAGAAAACCAGAAAGCCAAAAAAAGAAAAGCGAGAACGAACCCGAGCAGGAAAATGAATCAAAGCGAAGGCATCCACGATAAACTTTTTGGCCGTCTAAAAAATTATCCCTCGCCTGTCTAGTTGGATGGGGTTGTACTTCTCGTGAGGTATATGATGGAGTCTGGCATTACCGTAGGATGGAATTCCATTCACTTCAGCAGTGAAACATTCAGCATTCTAGAAACCAACTTTAGAATTTAATTTAGAAGTTAATTTTAGCATTACTAACTCCTTACTATTTTTTTTATTACGTGTTTGTACTAAGATTAGTCTTCATTTTGTTGATAGTTTTCTTTGGTTCGGCTCTGAATGCCCCGTTGAAACCTGTTAAAGACCCCCGTGGCCTTTGGGTCGGGCTTATTTTAGTTACTTTTGTTTTGCGTCCAGGCTGAACGAGTAAATAAATAAAAGAGCCGTCAGCGGGAATTAAGCAACCCTTCCGTTGCGAATAAATCAGCAAATTAATCGCACAGCCGAGTGCAGACCGCAGTGACTGTGCCGCCGCCAACCCCTTTCTCCGCATTTCTCCGCACTTTTCACTCCACCTCCCCCGGAAACGGAAACGCACACACAGTTAGCCACACATCAAATCCGAATCCGAATCCCAATCCCAATCCCAAACCAATCCAAAAATTGAGAAAACTTCGCCACTCAAGTGGATTTAAATTGGCTTTGCGTAACCGCAGTTGAGATTGAATTTTAAAATTTTCAGTTATTTGTTGCTTCTTTTCTTTTTTTTTTTTTTTTTTGGTTTGGTTCTGTTTAGTCCTGTCTGCCACTGAACGGCGACACATTTCCGCTTCCGCTGGCGAGAAGATGGAAGAAACCATGGCAGGGTATATAATTTGATTTGACTCTTCACGTTTCATTTAGCAAACGATTTCATTAGTTAAAAAGCGCAGTTTCTTTTTCCCTTTTTTTTTCTGTGAGGGGAGTGTCGTGCACATATTGTCCATGTCCTTGCCGGCTTTCCTTTTCTTTTTTTTTCGCCCTTTCAATCGTCCGGGCGGAGTTTCCCCTTTTGTGTGCTCGCTTTTTTTTATCGCCATTCAAGTTTGTTTTTCCGCTTAAAGTAGTTTTATTGAATCTCCTTATCGTTTTTTATGGCCACTCACCCAGTGGTCCATCGAACAACAACACCCCAACCCTCTTGATTATTGGTAATCTAAGCAAATTCTGTCATTAAGGGTCCTTGGATCCCCTCGTCACCGGAAATGTCGCGCTGCCTCTGGCCTCTGGTTCCACATAAAATATTGTCAATCAATTCAATTACAAGTTGACATCATTGTTACTTATTGTTGACGTCAATTGTCCGGCTGTAACCCCGTCTCCTGGAGTCTCCCCCTGATTTATGGAGTTCCTCGCTGGGCTGACCACTTGGTGGTCTTCTCTGCTCCAGGCTCCCAACCTCTGACCTCGTTTCTTTGAGCCTGATGGACGGAGGTCATTGCTTTTATTCTGGTAAGAAAATATTGCCTGCTCTTAAAAAAGGAACACATGATGGCATATGCTTAAACGAAACAAATTAATAGGGCTATCTCTAACAAGGGATACAAGTTTATATTCATTATGCAAAGATTTTCTTATTTATAAAGAATCCTAAAAAATAACCGTTCCATTGCAGATTTTTCTGTACATAAAGGCGTGGCAAAACTCTTTGGAAACTTTTCTGGGAGTGTGACTACTCGAGTTACCTCACTGATCGAACCCTTGAAGCTACGCCCACTCTTTTCAGTGGCAATTAGGCGGCACACACACACACCGCCTGGCGGGGTCAAAGATCAGGGGTGTGGCACAGATAGAGGACATGCAGGACATACGACACAGAGCGAAGGACACACTCCAAGGCAACCCTTTCAATGACTTCCGTTCACTTGCCTTTCCATCGTCGCGGTCCAACCGCCGCTTGTCGATAATTGCTCAGCGAAGAGCCCTTCTATTCCTAATTCCACTTCCATTGATTGATTTAACCCACCCGATTTCCTCTGCTGCGATCGTGTTTGCTTTGTCAGAGACGGTCGCTTTGTTTATTTACCAATAATAATGCAATAAAAGGGCAAAAGGTTTAACTTATTGGTGGAGTGGAGTTTACATCGTGCCTTCCACTGCGAGAAAATATATTTATATGCTGGCTGGGTGGAACATTTATAATATCAGATGCGAATACGTATTTCGTTAAGTGCTCCCCTCTCACAGGTGCCTTTCCATCGGTGAGTTGTTCTTTTGTCTGCTAATGGTTCGGATCGTATCGTATGGTATGGTATCGTATCGATGTCGTGGGAAGGTGGTGCAAAGGTGCCGCGGTGCTGAGCGCATTCAAATTCAAATTAGTCGATCGACACCGCAGCGCAACCACCGAAAATATAAATATAAACACAGAAGCACAGAGCCAAAGAGCCACAGAGCCACTCGCCGGGGTCATGTGAAAGTGCAAATTTATTTTGGTTTAATGGGGGGTTTCCTTTGTTTTGTCCGTGATTTCGCGGCAAGGGGGGGAGTACTGTACCGTGTGTGTGTGTATATTGTGAGCTATGCGTGTGCCCTTTATGCAAATCATTGTAATGCAATATTTAAATTGATGTTCGTGGCTTTTTAATGGCGCACGTTTCGCGGCTCCGCACGCAACTGCCCTCGTCCTGCTCGCTTTCCTTTCCTTGGCGTTGTCCTGTCTCTTTCGACGTTCATTAGGGTTAAAATCCTTTTTCGACTTGATGGCCGGGCCCCCTCCTCGACTTATTGACATGTTAATTAGGCATGTGAACCGCGAATCAGTTGAAAACGCTGCTGGAATTGTGGGAACTTGGCAAAATGCCACCCAAAGAATGAATATGGAGAATATATCCTTATAGTGCGTTAAACTTCTCTATGGTGATTCAACCTGTTCGAAATTAAAAACATTTTTCAGGTAAATATAAGTTTGAAATATTTAATTAACTCGGTGCCTGTCAATTACTCCAGAAATATTCCATACTTGTTATTTTCTCCATGTCTAATCTGCCCACTATTAATTTCCCGTTACAGATCCCACAAAAACCTGCTGATCCCTGTTATCCCTGATATCTATATCCACCCGTATCCCAACAGCCAAAACACCCGCCTGTTCGCACCCCATTAGAAAGTCAATCTGTGAATGCACAAAACCTCATTCACACCCATAAAGCAAACTTTGGGTATCTCTGGGTCAGCAAATCGTCAACATATTGGGCGCATCTTCATAAACAAGAAAGTGTGACCGCGGCGCACCCAGAGGACCGAGTAACTGGCTACCCGAGGAGGGGGTCACCGTTCCGAAAAACCTTCCAAAAACAATGAGGCACGTGCGGCGGCGGGTGGAAAGCGGGAGGAGGGTGGTGCAAAACCCACACGCCGAGGAACACAGAAACAATTGACTCTGGACAAGATTACATGGCAGGAAATTCAATTTTAAAAGCAGCTGCCACGTGTCGTTTTAGTGCTTGAAATTGTTACAGTTATTGCCCCGCAATGCAAGGGTGGGTGTTCCCATTTCCCATTTTCCACCCAGTCATCATCCTCCATCGCTCATCGATGAGTGTATGAATACGTAATGCCCTACTCCCTGCTCTGCTCTGTTCGGTTCGATTCCCTCCGCTCGAAATTGAGCAATAAACGCGCACCGCTTTTCAAACTCTGCGTTACAAATAAACAAAGGGGTGGGGGTGGTGGTGGCAAAAGCGGAAACGGAAACACACCACCGCCAACGTGTTAATTTGCAGGGGGTAGCTTTCGACGCTTTCGAGGCTTTCAATGCCTCTCGGCCTTCAGCGTTCATCGTTCAGTTTCCCAAAGACCTTGCGGTGGCTAAAAGGGCGTGTGATTGACTTAATTGACTATGAAAATGAGAAATTACATGCTGATAATGGCGCTGGCCGCGAAATGAGCAACAACATTATTAAAAACGACAAAGGCAAAACGCCACCCCTCGCCACTCCCCCCCCAAAAAAAATATAAGACGAGAACTGTAAAATGCGCCATCAACTTGCGACTTAATTTGATTTGGTATTTCCCACCAGCCTCCTCCTCCCCTCGGCGAAACCACCCACTGTTTTTGCCCAGTCCTTCCGGCATTTTATAGCTCCGCATTGGCTGGCTAATTAGAACTGCGTCCCGCGACTTTGTAAACCCTATTTTCCAGCGAGAGTTGAGTCATTAAAATGGCATTTGGGATGCGGACACGACTCCTGCCAGGAGGTAAATCAAAAGGCGGCCATTAAATAGCCCTAAATCGAAAGTCCACCAAACTAAATCCAATTCACCTAAGAGCATTTGTCGAAAACTCAAACAAACCAAGTCAAGCTATCATTCAACACTTGATTGAATTGTGTTATGTTATGCAGTTCAATTATATTGATTCAGGCATAGTATATATCCCCGATTTGGTATCAGCATAAGGTGTTAAAAAAGAGGTATACTTGGTATTGGTGGTTCATCACGAATCAGCTTTGGTATATCGACTTCTCATTAAGATAAGTGTAATGGTTTTACGCTAGCTTTCCATAAAGTTGGGTGTATAAATGGTTAGTGGCGTTTAGAAAGGGGAAGCTCTTAGTTAAAGCTTTCACCTGCGAGATCTGTAAATATTTAACTGAATGTTAGAAACTGGGATAAACGATTTCTAAGACTTACCTCGAAAAGTTGTGTTGAGTAATGCTTCACATGCGCTTTCAGCTATTCTGCTTTAGGATAAACATAAAGGCTTGAGAAAGTACATAGATGGATATTTCTATGTGAATACGTCTTACCGTTGTCGTCTTCATCGAAATCGAAGGAGTCACTCGACTCGGTCGAATCGCTATCGTCGCTAATGGCGAGGTCATCCGTCCAGTCAGAGACTGGACTGGGCGGACTGCCTCGAGGAATCGCCAGACAAAGGTCGGCTCTTAGCTTTCGGAAGTAGGCCTGCATCTCCTCGAACCTGTTCACCGTTCTGATGCACTCGTGGCATATGGTCTTGGGCAGATCGTCGGTGGACGAGACGGCCACCGAGAAGTGTCTTTTCACCTTCTGGACCAGGTGCATTTGCTGAGCGCGTTCCCCGAAAAAGAGGAGAACGTTGCGGTGGACCTGCATGCAGATGCGGCAAACGAAGCCCGAAATTTTGGCATTTGCAATGCTTCCCATTTCCCTGATGTATTCCAGTCTTCTGTGCAAAAGTAACAAAGTTAAGCCCAAGCCCTACTAGCTTTGTTCGCCAGGAGCACACGTTCGAAAACAGTGTTAAAAATGGCAAGTTTATGTTAAATGTGTGACCAGGTTTCGTCACTTTATAGACAGCATCTAGTGGCCATCTTGGAGCTTTGAACGATAGTGTTGAGAGGGATTCTTAACTTTTACATTGAAGTAAACCGTAATGAAACCATAATCTTTATTAATCTTTATTAATATCCACTATATCATACAATGCGGAGCTAAGTAAATATTATCAGCAAAGGGGACAATAATGAACATATATTTTCTCGATCTCTTTACTAGATGACCTGGCAGATGAGGCAGCCTGCGGGGCATTCCGTCTGGCAATCTGCACGGCGTTGAGTGGTTACGGCAAATCAGAAAGCGTAATTAACTACAATCTGGCCAGCCAAACTTCCCATATAAATACACAGATATACTATATAGTATATATATTTTATATTTATGTAGGCGAATGCATGGCCACTTATCGATTATTTTATTAATTGTAATCTCATTTATTTGCCCCTCTTCCGCCCTGTGCTTCCTGGCCTGGCCTGGCCTGATTTGGTTCGGACTGTTCTGGTCTGGTTAGTTCTGTTCATTTCTGTTCTGTGTGTTTAATTTCCACGTTTATTTTGTGATAAATTTATTATTATTTGATCGGCCCGTCTGCGAATGCCATATAGTGTGTGCGTGGCTTAATCAATTTTTCATTACAAACTCACAGCGATTCAGTATCTGTATCTGGACTATAGCTGTGTCGTCGATGTCCACTTGTCCGCTCGTCCGCGGCTTTATCAATGCCAAATTCGAGCGTTTCCAGTCGCAGGTCCCACCGAGCATTCGAAAATCGCCTTCGATCACGATTTGTGGGTAATGAATGCCTCATCCCACTCCATTTTCCCTTCGCCACCTGTCCAATGCTGAGTTCTCCGGACACACAAGTGTCTGGGGGCGACCCCCCTTGATCCGTGGTTGGTATAGATCCGATTTCGATTTGGAATCGCCTTGCTCTCATTACCCAATTTGCGGGAAAAGAGCTGGGCAAATATCGAGGGTATTATGAGCCCAATACTGGGTAAATATTAATGGAATTTCCCTGTAAACAATTTTTAGAATTCGACAACGGAAGACAATTTCGACTAGTCATTGTGATTTGTTAATAATTCTTCTTTATGAATGCGCTAGAATAAGGTAAGGATTTGGGTCACCTTTTTTTTCTTTCACAAATTTTACTAAAGGCGGAAAGAAAAAAAAAAAAAAAAAAAAAAAAAAAAAAAGAAAATTGATTGTAGTTCTTCTAGGATGAAATTGACCAAGTTAAATAAATTGGGTCACATCCTGGGAATGCATCATGCCGCACCGGAATGACTGCGAGCGGATCCAAGTCCCCCCCAAATGGACTGCGATAAGCTGCCTACAGTTGGTACTTGACATGACGGTCATGCATGCCTGACCAGGTGGAGAATCAACGGAAGAGGCGGAGGAGTCGGGGTAGCCGGGGGAGCTGGGTAAAACGGATCGGATCGGGGCGATCGGGCCAAGTAAGCAACTGTCCAAGCGGTTGTGAGACATATCGCTGATACCAGCGATGGAGGAGCGTGGCGGGTTGGCTGGAGGGGACTCCGGGGCAATCGGGCAATCAGCTTGGCGCAGCGTGTAAGCGTCGCGGGTTGTCCAACAGTCAAAGAGGAGGAAAACAGTCGAAGCAGGCAAACTGGCAGTGGGAATCGGGCTTATCGCACTTCTTTTTTTTTGGGCGAAGAGTCGCGGGGGGCGGGCGAACAAACGTTATTAGTTTATTTCACGATTGTGCCAAGCAAACCAAACTGCTGCCTGGCTTCCATTCCATTCCACGGCTGGCTATACGTACGTATCACTGGCCCACTCTAATCTAGATCATTGAATTGTATTGAAATGTACTCGCCGGGGCCATATACTCGTAGTCGTTTACGTACCATATATACTAAATATACGCACTGCCACAATCAACATCCTGTCCGATCCGATCCGATCCGCGCGATACGGGTATGCAAATGATTAGGGGGCGATTAGGGGCTGTACTTGGATTTCTGACACTCCCACTCACAGTAAACCATCACTCCCCACCCACCCACCGCCTCCTGTAACCGCTAATCGATGGCTTTATGGCCGTATATTGCCCTGTCCGCTGGCCATTCAAACGGGTTATGGGCCCCCATAAACGGGTGCAGTAATTATGTACTTCTGGTAATTTGCTAGCCAAGGGTCCAATGCGTGCTTCGATTTTATACGCAAGTGGGCAAGTGGGGGATCAATCATTACGTGGGTATATAGATAAATATGTACCTTTCTAATAGAAATTATAAATAATGGTTAAATTAACATTTAACGATGTTATATTCACTGAACATAATACACTTATTTAAAGTTCGAAAGAACTTATGTAAACTACTCTTAATTTATTTAATATCCAGCCTGGATTGACATTAAGATAAACAGATATATTGAGATGTGGCATTTCGTTTTCAAGTATTTGATTATTTGTTTAGGAAAATGTAATCCCACCTACAGGTAGTTATGACCGCCGATCGATTATTCTCTGGAGTGCCAATCATGACCAGTGCTCATGACTTTCTCCGTGGTCAGTACTCCCCATTCAGATGGATACGAAAACAAGTCGTTGCGATCGTAAAAGTATAATTAACCCGTTGGAGAGCAACTATAGATCGTGGCGTATGTAGGGGTAATGTTTATGGTACTTCAGCTGCAATTGTTGAGTTTATGGCAGCGTGTAAAAGGGGGTTTCGATTTCGAATTGCCGGGTTGCTGCTGCAATATATAGTACAATATATATGGACATACACCACGCACATGACCAGGGGGCCCACTTGATGCTTATCAATATTCGTACCCCCGAATGTTATTGTCATTATGCTGTGATCGCCTCTGAATCGGAATCGTATCGAATCGAATCGAATCGAATGGATGGACGAGCATGTGGCTCCACTTGTGCCAAGTGGAAGTGTTCCATTGATGAGTAATTTAATTTGTCGTTTATTAGAATAGCACTCGTTTTATTTTATGAGATACTCCAGCGCCTCTACTTGACTTCGAGTTCTTTATTTGCCAAATGTGTCGAGCGGCGCGGCGCGAGATATCTGTGCGTCAGAGCCAATATCTTCCCAACTGATTTGCCGTCGGCCACTCACATTTTTGGGCCTACAGCCCATAGCCCCTGATGGCTGGTTAATCGGTCCCAAATCGAAGCCGCCAGACAGAGTGCTCCGCCGCCGCTCCACCACCTGACGGGCTGGGGTTCCATGATTGCCCCTGGTTCTGTCCGGGTCTGGGGTCCCTTCTTATCGGATCGGACCCACTGGCTTTATAGTCGCAATCCCCTCAATGTCCCCAATCCCCGTTTCCGACTCCCGTTTCCCTGGACTCCCCTTTCCCGACTCCCGTCTCCCGATTCGCGATCCAAATAATATTGTTTTGGTGCCGTAATCAGGCAAACTGGACGGATTACGGTGCCAATCGCAGAACGGTAGCTAACAACCATAATCAAGACCGTATTTATGGTTTGTCCAACATGTTTATACGCCCCGGCGATACGTAAACTCGAACCCTAAGGGTGAGGGTGCCATTTATGATCCCATAAAGTGCATAGGGCCATAACTCTTTCACGTGCTGGAGTTTTAGTTTTCACATGCTTGGAGATCGTATCTTAAACCAGGAATTAACAAAGATATAATACAGGTTTTTGTTTTAATTTTTGTAAATGGTTTTTATTAAATCTCTAAAATGTATTTTGCAGTTTGTAGTGTCGTTTCGCTTTGCTTTCTGTCCCGAATACATTTGCCGTATCTGTAAGTGTCTCTGTCCGCCGTCCTTTCCTTAAACATTTATGAACTCATTACTTGCTATAAATTCAAAGAGTTTTCCTTTACTCGCTATACACGCACACACACGAAAAAAAATATCGGTTAGGACTAAGTGTCTATATTATACGTATGTGTAATCATACAAAAAAAAAAAGTTCATTAAATTCTGTCTAAAAAATTTGAACACTAATTACGCTTGACTTTAGTATAACGTAGATATAGTACAGATTTAGTTGCATTGCCATTTATAAGTTTTTCCTTGCGATTACCTTAGTTTCCTATGCTACGTTTTTTTTTCTTCTTTGCTATATACAATGTTTTCCTTTGGGTCTTCACTTAGGTCTAGGAAAAAAAAAAATAAAAAAAAGTTATGTCTAGCTCTAGGTTTTATAAGTATAATCAACTTTAGTGCAGTGAAAATGGGAGACTTGTGGGATCCAAATGCCCGTAACAATATCTGATTATATTTGATTATAAAGTCCCACTTGTCACGGGCATTTGAGTTCTGTTCCAGGGAATGGATCTTGTGTTTCATATAGAGGTAACCTAACCCCTGACTAAGTTGCCCCGCAGCTCTTGAGCTCGGGTCTTGGGGTAAGTTCGATTTATATATATATATTTATATATAGTTTTGGGGCGCTTTTGCCGGCTAACCTATGTACAGGAATGACTCAGGGAATGAATGACTCATCAGTGAGACTAAAACTAGTTGTGGTTTATTATTGTATCGCTTCTGGTTGCTCTTTCCGTTTGGCTTCTCCGGGGATCCGGGGATCTGGGGATCCTTTTTGTGGGGGCCTGGCCTCTGATCTCTATTGCACAAGGTTGCGAGGCTCACGTCCACATCCACATCCACCTATTCGAGTGGCTCCAGGCCCGCGAAGATCCGGTCCTAGCAGTATTAGGGCCACCAGGCCGACCTCTGGGCATGTGGATGCCCGTGCCCGTGGGCGTGGACATGGGCGTGGGCGTGGGCATGGGCGTGCAGGCCGGCGGCGGCGGCAGCGGCGTGCTGATACGCGGCCGCCCCATTCAAAGCCACCAAATGGTGGGCGGCGGCGGCATTCTGCATGGCGGTGGCGGTGGCCGAGGAGACGGAGACACAGTCGGCGCCCAGCTTGGAGCCGTCGCCCAAACAGGGCTTCCCATTCCTCACCAGCACCGGAACGGCGACGCGACGCGGCGAGGGCAACGCACTCGGATGATGCGGATGTGTGGCATGGCCATGGAGCAGACCCGGATGACCCTCGTAGCCCTTCTCGTTCTGCGCCCGCTTCGTCTTGTAGCGGTGGTTCTGGAACCAGATCTTCACCTGCGTCGGCGTCAGTCGGATCAAGCTGGCCAAATGCTCCCGCTCCGGGGCACTAAGGTACCGCTGCTGGCGGAACCTCCGCTCCAGTTCGTAGGTTTGCGCCTTGGTGAAGAGCACCCGCCGCTTGCGCTTCTTGTTGGGTAATCCATCCGAGCCGTTGCCACCGCCGCCGCCACCGCTGCCGTCCGCGTCGTCCACGTCGTCGATGTCCTCCTCGATGCCGTCCTCGTTCAGGCTGTCGTCGTGGCCACTGCTCGCCGCTCCATTCAGACCATCATGCTTCAGGCTGTTGTTGTTGTTGTTATTATTGTTATTGTTGTTGTTGTGGAGGGCATGAGCCGCCGAAGGACCTCCGCCGCCAGGAGCCGAGGCTCCTCCGTTCATCGTGTGCAGGGCATCGCCCACCGACAGGGCATCGCTATCGGCGGATCGGCTGTAGCTCTTGTAGTCACCGGAAAGAGCCGGGGAGGTCTGGCAGTTGGAGCCGATGTAGGTGTACGACACCTCCGAGGTCACCGGCGAGGTGCTGTCCGGACTCGCGGGCTGCTGGGTTCCTGAAATGGCGAGAGGAAAGGGTTCCGTGTTAGAGAGGTTGCTATATTTTATACGTATCTTCTCCTAAAGCATCCCCAATAATAACCATTCACATTTAAACGATCAGAGTAGAATAGAAAATATTAATCCCACTTCCTAATACCCTTTTTAGAGAACAACAATAAATCGTTTAGAGTCCCTGTAAAATAGCAAACATCATTTGTGTTCTCTTAGGCGCCCAAATGCCATCAATTTGTTTGGTTTCTCCACTTTGAATGGCTCAAAAAATGGGAAGGCAGACAAAGGGGCACTGAGAGTAGCCTGGGTGGGAATTTGTCAGCAATTGAAATACCTTTTTGGTCGTAAATTAATGCACAGACACACCCTACGCCGCCAAGTGATCGAGCAGAATTCCAAACACACACATACTACATACACACACACACAAAGAGAAAAGGGGAAAGTCAGGATAACAAGAACGGCAATTGGATTAGGCGCGACATGAAGCTGTGGTCGCCAAATGCCAGATGCATGCACTCTGCAAATGGTGTCTCTGAATACGAGTACATATATGGTGTCAAATCAACCCCTGCCCCTTAACTTCCCCATCCCCTAACCTTCCCCATCCCCTAGGAGTTCCACCCTAATAACGTCAATTAGGCGGAGACAAACAGAGATCGCACATTCGAATGTACACGGGGAGGTATTCCCTCGTCGTCTACCTGGAACGATCAACCGCTTCGATCTCCCGTCGACCGACCGACTGAATAACTGAATGACTGACTGACTGACTGACTGCTGACCTTCGGGCCTGTACTTGGAACCAGGAACCAGGATGCTAATGAAGGGAAGACACAAAAGCCAAACCTCAAACACATCAATGGCACTCGGGGCTCTTCCGGTTCGCCCACTTTTGATAGAGTCCCTACCTTCCATATATAGAAGGCAGTGATTTATCGCCGGGCGTGGCAATCTATGATATAATGCGATATTTCGGGGCGGGATCGTCGTAACCACAGAGATTACTCCCGAGAGTAATTTTCTGATATTGATGAGGGAAATCCTGTTAAGGCGTTTCATCTCAAAAATAATAAAGAGCAGTTATTGGGCTCTAAATTCCTAATCTAACCCCCCAAAGGCTTTCAAAACTGCGAATATTATTTAAGATGGCACTCAAGTTCACCAGGCACCCGGGTTTTTCCCCCAGTGTCCCATTGACTAAACAAAAAAATTCGAAACCGTAGGAGCTGCTAATGCCCATCCATTAGGCCCCTCCTCCAACCCGCCGACTTGATTGCAGTTGCCCTGCCAAAAAAAAAAAAGAAAAATAAAACCCATCCGCTCACCATGACAACTCAACAAATTAATAACTTAATATAATCAAAACGACTCCTTCACAGCTGTGAAAATTCCCAAAAAAAAAAAAATAAAAGCAGACAAGAAAAAAAGGCAAGCGGGCAGCAATTATAATTTGTAGCTAAACAAAAAGGAATAATAAAAAAAAGAAGAGGAGAGGACGAGGACGAGGCGGAAGTGCGTGCCATAAATTTCCAGGACGAAAAATGTTTGGGCCGCAACAACAAGGAGCGATCGAAGGGGCCAGCGATTGACTGGCCCGAGCGAAGGACACCAAGGAAAACAACAGCAGAGAGGCCTAATCCTCAAGTGTGAAGCGCACACAAACTATTAGTCAAGATTAAAGGGGAAGGCCACCACCCCCAACCCCTCGGAGTGAAGTTAAAGACCCATTTCGATCGGGTGAGTGAAAGGCAAAGGGCAAAAAATATAAAAAACGACACGGCCAGGATCAGACATGGCTCGTCACTCCTGCCGAATCCTGCGGGGTATGCAAACACAGCTGCCTCATCGCTCGACTGCCTCATCGAACTCGGACTCACGAGGAGTGAGTAGGCAATTACGGAGCAGTATTATTAGTCGGCCAGTTAGTTAATCGGGGGTTAAATGCAGTCAAAGGTTGGAAGTTGCAAGAATTTCGAAATCCCTTCGATTGATTTTATAACGGTCTGCTGATGCATTCATTTCGAGGATCTGCTCTGCTTTTGAGTTCACTGTACCAACATGTTTTAGGTAATTGAGAGTTAGTCAGTAGATCAGTTGATCATTATTAAATCAAGAGATGATCAAATTAGAGATCTGAATTTTCACCGTTAAAAGTGGGGCTTAAGCGGCAATCCTTTAATTAAATAATAATTCCCAACCTGTTCTGAATCTAATCCAGGGTCAAATCAAAACTCACCGTATAGCTCGTTCTCCTTGATCCACGCACTCCGCCCCGAGTGCTGCAGCATGGTCTGGGCCATGTGGTGGTACGAGGACATCTCGTCGCCGAAGCTCCCCGGGAAGTTCTTCGGCAGATTGGGCAGGTATTGGCCGGCGGCCACCGCTGCAGCGGCCGCCGCATTGTGGCTGGCCAGCAGGTGGGCGGCGGCTGCATTGGCGTGGGCGTGGCTCTGGGCATCGCCGCTCTGGTGGTGCGCCAGCGGGAGTGGAGCCACCGCCTGCTGGTGGTGCGGGTGGTGTGGGTGGTGCTGCTGCTGCTGCTGCTGGAGGTGCTGGTGGTGCGACTGCTGTTGCTGGTGGTGCGGGTGCTGCTGCTGTTGGCTCGGGTGGCTCGCCGGCTGCTGTGCTGAGTGGTGCTCGGTGGTGCTGTGGTGGTCCGAGGACCCCGATCCCGCCCCCGTTCCGCTGCCACTGCCACTGCCGCTGCCGCTGTTGTTGTGGTGCTCGTCCACCGAACCGCCGGCGGGAGTGGGCGAAAGTGCAGAGGGCGTGGCATGAGCTCCCTGACCGACGTGTCCGTTGGTGGCGGACTCACTGGCCGAGTGGTGGCTCAAATCACTGCCATGTTGGGCCGCTGCGGCGGCCACGGCGGCGGCATTCTTCAGCTCGGATCCCTCCAGGTTCAGGATGTCCGATATGTGGAAGCCGGAGCGCTGCGACGACGGCACCTTTGCATCGAACAAGCTGAAAATTGAAAGTTTATTTAGAATTAATTATCAGAGAGATGAAGATACTCAATAGTATAAACTATCATTAAACATTCAGCTTGATAGAAATTTCACAATTTGATACCCTAAATATCTCATAAACTCCTCCATCGGAAATGATTTCACTTTCAATTAAAAATGCATCCAATTAAAGTGACTGTAAAATGGCGAAGCCTACTTGAATCGATAATTAATATTAGTAGATTATTAAAATACTAAAAAACCAAATATGATATTCCCAAATCAATTTCGTATTTTCTGTATTTTACAATTATCTACGAACACTTTGAATTTCGGGATTTGACTTCCCTGGTTATTAATTGCACATTCCCCGGGAAATGACCACAGATTCGTGTGATTAATGACTCCCCGGAATATTGAAAAGCCTTTTAGGGAAAGGCCTTGGGCGATTGTCATTCCGTTTAGCATTTCATGCTCTTTGCAATGACATCCGGTGTCGATCTTATGAATGGAAGGAATGGAATCGGAAGGTGCGACAAAAGGGAGGTCCTTTGGCTGCAGGACCTGCAGGGGAAACTACCTGTCCTACCTGCCGCGCTCTGACTTTCACAGATTTTCGCACTTGCCCATCAAAGGAACGGAACGTCCTGTTCATATCCTTTCCTCACACCTTTCGCTCGGAATTAACTCCGATTAAGTGCACGCAAATCGCTGGATTATTAACACCTAGTCCCGAGCTTCGAAGTCCGAGTTTTGATTTTCCTAATACCATCAACAATTAAACGCAAATCCTCAGAGGATCGATATCGAACTACCTGCTACCTGCTCGCAGGTCAGGCCAGGTCAGAGGGGATTCGGATTCGGATTCGGAGTCGGGCAGGTCGAAACAGGTCGTGCCACATGTTGGCGCAAGTTCGTCCGCTTCCGGTTTTCCCAACTCGAGTTTTCCCAAACAGCCCGGACTCGCGAATTTCCCACGCTACACGCTGCACAGCACAGACATTCGGGCGGGCATTCCCCGTCGTCCTGGCCGGAATTCCCATTGCCAGCCAGACAGTGTGACGCCGGAGGACCTCCGAGTCTGCCGCACACATGTCGCCGCCGATTGGGGTTTTCCTGGCACTCACCTACGGGAATTTCTAAGCCAGGCCCGAACAACCGGCCAGAATTTCCCAGTCGCCGCCGCCAACCGGCGAGGACCTTGAGTACTTGCCAGATCCGAAAAGACGGGGGAATTACGTCCTGTGCTCGCGTATCTCGGCCAGGACTCGCTTTCGGTTTTTGGCAAGTGTCCTCCGTCGAGGAGCTGGCAGGATTAGCCGGACAAGTCCATTAGCTGGACGGGATCTAGCCAGGGGCTAGCATGGGTGTGATCTTGACTAGGAGCTTAGCTTAGCCGAGGGCCAGTTGTGGCTCAGTATTGGACTTAAGGGGTTTTCGCAGGATATTCCCATGATTTCGATCTCTGGATGGAGCTACTTTTTCTAGCTTTATACAACGATTGGATTTAGTTCTTAGGTAAAGGGTTTTTCTAAATTATGTTTGTAGATTAATAGATTATTTAATTACGCCAGAAATCAATTGTATAACCTCGATGATATGCGAAACCAAAAGGGACTTTTAATAACATATAATGAGGTATATTTTTTAAGAAAAGTTTGTAAAATATCTATAAGCTTTAAGGATAAATTGATGATTTTTGAGCATCAAAGTTTAATAAGAAAATAGTGCTTTGGGAATTGATAATTCTTTCAGCTGCTAGAGAAGAACGGGTATCCCCATTTGGGCCAAAGTAAAACCCAAGTTAACCAAAGTTCAATTGGGGATATCAGGTAAAGGAAAGCCGGAGAAGATGTCCCACTTCGTATCCCCATTTCTGTTGGAGTCCTTACCCAGGCAGAGCGTTCCGCAGGGCCGCCGGATAGAAGGCGGCTGGCAGGAGGGCGTGGCTCCACGGCGGCAGCAGGATGGGCGACCAGGGCAGGAAGGGGGCGGCGGCAGCGGCGGCGACGGCGGCCGACGACGGCACCATCAGGCTGCTCATGCTGTGGAGACCCGGGAATCCGCTGAAGGCCGCCGCACCCGTCGGAATCCGCAGCTGTTCGGGTGCCAAGCCCGTGGAGCCGGAGCTCGTGTTTGTTGGCACGGTGGTGCTGGCGGTGCTGAAGACCTTCGCCGATCGCTCGCGGTCTCTCTCCCGCTCCTCAAAGTTCCGCTCCCGTTCTCGCTCCCGTTCCCTTTCCCGCTCCCGTTCCCGTTCCCGCTCCTTTTCCCGCTCCAACGAGGGCGTGGAGGTGCGCAGCGGACGCTTGGGCGTGGCCGGGGACGAGGGACTAACGGTGATCGCACTCTGCGGCGAGGCGGGCAAGCTGCCGGCGCTGCCCAGGCCGCTGCTGTTGTCCCGCTCGCGGTCCCGCTCCCGCTTCGAGGGAGTCCGCTCCAAGGACGCCGAGGTGGTCATATCGCTGGGCGACAATATCGGGGAGCCGCTGTTCGACTTGCGGCGCTGCGGCGCGGGCGGCGGCGTAGGCGGACTCTTGCGTTTCTCCGCCACTTTGGAGCCTTCTGTTTTTCTTCGGGTTTAGCACGGCAAAAAAAAATGTATGTATGTTCGTGTATGTGGCACAAGCACTGTTCAACTGGGTATCCTTTATCCTTTTCAAATGTTGCACATAGTTTTTAAGTTTTAGTTTATCAAGAGTTCGATTGTTCAGGGGTCGCGTTAGCTTTTCTCGATTTGGTATTTGGTGTTCAGTGTTCGGTGTTTTGTGTTTTGTTTTTCAGCCTGAGGGATCCGCGAAGCAGCGCACTCTAAACATTCCAAACTGAAGTGTCATCAACAACTAACGAGGCATCAAGAACTCGACACGAGTCCAAGTCGCAACAGCCAACAGCCAACGGGCAACGGCAGAAAAGTACCAAGTACCAAGTGCCAGGGTGTCTTTCTGGGTGTCTCTATGTGTTTGTGGTGCTGCACGTTCTGCATCCCTCTGCCATTGGGTACATAGCACAGATACACCGATACACAGATGCACACACACACACACACACACACAGAAACACTTACACAGCGAGACTGGAGAGACTCTCGGCTTTGTTGGGCGCGCTAAGTGGCTTCTCATGTCCTTTTCAACAAGGATACGGCTACAATGTGAGTGGCCCATTCAACCACCGAGGAGAACAACCACCATTCGCCGCCAGAGCGAGATGGAGAGCTGCTCTGCTCCTATCCTTTGAGTCCTTGTGCCTAGCGCCGTCTCGCTCTGGCGCTCTCCTGTTGCTCTCTCGCTCTCAAGAGTGCCACTTGAGCGAGAGTGTGTGTGTGTGTGTGTCTGCTCTGTGTTTGTGAGTGAGGGCCATTGTAGCGCCTCGAGAACCTCCTTAGGTATACGGCGTTCCCATTTCCATTTCCATTTCCATCACCATCACATGACGGGATTCTGGGACTCTGGGATTCTTCCCTTCTCTTCCCTTCCGTTCCGTTCCCTTCCCTTCCCGCTCTGCTGCACTTGATGTTGTCAACAATCGCCGCGTCATTATATTGTATTTATCATTATCAGCGCTCTACGACTGAAGCGTCGAATATCTGGACCCCGGGGCCTTGACTACTTGCCGCCGACTCATGACACCAACTTGGGCGTGTCCGGCCAAGTGCCAAGTGTGCGTGAACGGTGAACGGGGAAAGGACATGAGCTTGTTTTCGGGACTCGATACGATATCATCGGGACTTAGATATCTACCGCTTATCCTGTTGAGTGGCTTGCTCGATAAGGAAGATTTGTGGGGGGATTATTACTTTTCCATTCATAGACGGAAATTGGCGATACAGTTCTGGCCCTTAAGCACCGATAAGAAAACAAGTATTAAACAATAGGGGACGCTACGAATAATGTCCTAAAGATCAGTTAGATTTTAATCAATATCTAGGTTCGGGTATAATTTAATTTTTTGTTTTGCGGATTTTTATTCCATATTATAATATTTCAAAATTGAAATATAGAAGTGGGACCTTAAAGATGTTTATTTATATGCATCCATTATTAAAAAATGATGAGTAAAATTTAATATGAAATAAAAAAGAAAGAAACGCGGAAAATGTTCAGGAATAAGTTGTAGGGAAGGAAAAACTAAACTGTAGTTGTTTTCATTAACTACATATCTTAACTTTTTGTGAATCGTAAAGGACTTTTAAAATTCATAAGCCCAAAGCCACACTTTAAATGTGTTACTATATGAAGAAACGTCTGTTATAACTTGTTATTGTTAAAGTTATGGTAAAGTTTTCTGCTCCATAACCATGTTAGTAGTATCATGTCCTGGCATTCAGTTTGCTTTATGGTTCACTTTTTCGGAATCCAGTTTCTTGCGTGTAACGGAACTGTTATGGAGCACTTGGGTGCTCAAAGTAGAGCCCTTATATACAAGGATGGCGGCGCTCGTGTTCGTGCAATTTGAATTTCGATTTCATAAGCTAACCCATGATTAGCTCAGATCCTTCACATGCCAATACATGGCGCCCGCCCCTCTGAGGGCGCACTAAGGAGCGGCGAAAAACAATATACAGGGATATACATAATCAACACGAACATTAGGCAAACTTGGGGATAGTCGCTCCCCGGGGCAATTGAAAAAAAAACAGGGAAAATCTAACATGGCTTGTTGTGCTGCCATCCACATAAGGGGGCTATACATAAGGAGGGTGTGTGTATATATGGAGGGTCCTTTTTCGGTACTGGGACAGGTACCGCCCCCCCCCCGCCCCCGCCCCCGCATCCGCCCTTCGAAAGTGGGCACTCCATTGTCGCTCATGTTCGCGTTCACACCATCAATCCCTATGTGGGAATGGCCAAGTGGGTTGGGGCGAGTGTTTACTTGTAATACCCTCTGCCGCGGTCGACGTCGCTGCCCGATGGGCGCGTCATGGCCGCCCGACCAATCGGAGAAGCGTGCGAGCGGGTGAGCTATATTTACGGCGGCCTGTCGCGCATGTTTGGGAAATTTCGGTTACGCCAAAGG